GGTTCATCTTCTTGGTTCTTTCGGTAAAGTCACGTAGAAGGGAAGTAATAAAATAATAAAAAGAAAACATAATAAAATATTTATTATGTTTTTAAAAATATTTTATTATGTTTTATTTTTATTATTAATAGAATAATAAAAATAAAACATAATAAAATATTTTATTATGTTTTAAAAAATATTTTATTATGTTTTATTTTTTTTATTTTATTACTTCCCTTCTACGTGACTTTACCGAAAGATACAATATTTTATTGTTTTATTTTTATTATTTTATTACTTCCCTTCTACGTGACTTTACCTAAAGAACCAAGAAGATGAATCCCTGCAGTCACGAAAGCTTTAAATCGAAATCCGGTCAGTGGGTTCTGAGCTAACCACACACAGCACCAGGTACTAATTTGCGGCTGAGTCGACCTAGGGAAGGCCCAGGGCCAGCTCAGATATTAAGTCACCTCTTAGCCAGGATCGTAGCGCAGCGCACTAACACCTACGTTACCACTGCCCCACCAAGGCCAAACACACAACACCCCATTGACACAACACTGCTGCCACCTGCAGTGTTGTCGCTGATGATACAGCCTGTGCGGTCTCCTCCTGCACAGCAACGGCACTCTCTCACGCATTCGAGCTGCAGGATTTGTCAACCACAAAGCCCCCTCGGCACTGCTTTGGAAGAACTTGTGAGGTGTGACGCTGCGGTGAAGGTTTACCCGCCCATAATGGACATCTGTGCAAAAAAGAGCTTCATAGCTCATCGGATTCCTCCAGTCTGAACAAAGTTTCGGATTCTACAACACGAAGAAAATTGGTCGACGGGAAGAGTCAAGAGGTTATACATATGACGCAAATCATTATTTAGTATTATGCATTATATATTTTGCGTCGAACCGACAGCACTGGTATCTTAAAGAGAAGGCCCTTGCCTATTAATATCTGCCAGTTCAACAGCATTGCCTCCAGCAACCCTGGGCTCGCTGATGAGGATATGCTGAATGTCGAAACTGGTCGAGAGTTTGTTTCCCAGCAGCATTTGCATGGACCAGTTTTCTGATTACAAACACCAAATTGATCTGACCAACCTGGACATCCATTGGTTGGGGTACCGAGGTGACCAGATTTTAACTACCTCGCCTGGTGTACAGGAGGCCGTGTGTTTGATCCCGACTCTGACGCCTGCTGCTGTATATTTGGAGTTGTCAAGTTCTCCCCGTGGCCGCGGAACATTTTCACCGGGTTCTCCCAGTTTTCCCTCGACATTGAGAATCAACATGCATTTAGAGTATTTTTTGCTGCAAAACATTTCCACACGATGAGCCACTTCGTTGAGCTGCCATTTGTGGCCAGGTCGCTTCTGAAAATGAGCTACATAGCTCAGTGGACCTTACCTGGTAAAAGAAAAAAGTTTAGTTGAGTAGATTAGGTAATGGCAATATAAATATCACGTTATTAATTGAAGCTTTACTGAAACTGAGGGTGACTTTTGAAGTGTCTTCAATAGGAATGTTGGGACAATTCCTCATGGAATGAGAGGACAACTGTAGAACCTGGATAATATGAAAAGAAATGGATGGCACTAAAACATGTGTGCACATACAGGACAATAATAACCGACATGTACTTACAATAAAACTCTTCACATTCGTCAAAATCAGTGGCCTTAAAATTAACCGTATAACAGGCAGCGTTTGAGGCAGTGGCTGTCTATAGTCAACAATTTCAGGCAACGCCTCTTCTTCATAGCAAATGTTGCTATGTATTGCCCAAAACGCACCTATTATATTTATTTATCTTAAAAGTCTTAAAGTCTTAAAGTCACTTTATTGTCAAGTGTGTTACATGCATGACATACAACACAGATGAAATTACAGTCCTCTCTCTTGGTCCCACGGTGCAACCAAGCAATTAAAAAATTAATCACAATTAACAGACATAAATAAACAATAAACAATCGGCGATCAACACAAGATAAATAATCAAAAATGTAATAAACTTAAAATAAACAACAGTCAAGAATTTGTAAAATGAAAAATATTATTTAAATAAAGTATTTAAAGAAATAAGATATTTAAACCAGTGTGGTAGTGCGATGTAGTGCAATGTGCAGTCCAGAGATCAGGATGTACGAGTGAATGTGTGTGTGGGGGGTGGGGTCAGAGGGCAAAGGGGGGTGGGTGGGCAGAGGGGGGGAGTGATGGTAGAGCAGGGAGGGAGTTGAGTCTCCTGACAGCCTGGTGAAAGAAACTGTCTTTGAGCCTGCTGGTCCTGGCTGGAAGACTCCGCAGTCTCCTCCCTGACGGCAGCAGGCTGAAGAGGCTGTGAGATGGGTGGGTGGGATCACCTGCAATCTTGATTGCTTTGCTGGTGATGCGGGTGTTATAAATGTCCAGAAGAGGGGGGAGAGAGACACCAATGATCCTCTCAGCTGCTCTCACTATGCGCTGCAGAGTCTTGCGGCAGGACACGGTGCAGGTGCCGTACCACACGGTGATGCAGCTCGTCAAGATGCTCTCAACGGTGCCTCTGTAGAAGGTGTGCACGATGGGGGGCGGGGCTCCTACTCTTCTCAGTTTGCGGAGAAAATCATTTTATGGCAACGTTATTGACGAATGTGTTGAGTTTTTGTAAGTTGTGCTTTTGTACCACGCTCTCCACAGCAGCAGCAGCAGCAGCAGCAAATCATGTGTTGATGTACAACAACCGACTCACTTTCGTGTCTTCATAGGGTACCGCCAATCACATATCCACGACGGATTTTCGGGCCGATCGTTGCTTTCAAACATTCAAAAACACTCGAGGAATTTCAAGAGCAGGACCCAGTGGAAATAAAGACGATCGGTTCTAAACGAGATCTTCCTCACGACGCCAAGAAATGGTGATGCATGTGATGTCATCACGCAGACGTGCGCGGTGACATCACCCGTCCCTCCCAGCAAAACTTTTTTCGAAAACAGAATGATACTGGTGAACGGTCTGACTTTAGAATAATTCTTCACAAGAAGCCAAGTACTTGATCAATTCAACAGTTAGCATGAGAGTTAAAGCAACTTGGAACTTGAAGCTGACCCTTCCCTATGAATAAACCCAATAAATGTTAACGCTGTAACTTTTGGGCCGCTCATCAGAAGCAAAGTTTGTGCCAAATTTCAGTTTTTAGGCTCTTTCAGAACAGCATTAGAATTTACATCAGTCAGTTACAATCCTCAGTATTAGATACATTCTTGTTTTTTTCTATAGTCCTGATCCAGCTTATGCCATGAAGTAATGTCAACATCCTCAATTTGATGCAATTGTAAATTCATGTATTAAAGAGCAGGGGCAATGATGAGAATTGCATTCATGCTGACCAAGTTGAAGCTAGGAATCTACTTGTTCATAAAACTGAAACTATAAAAAGATGTTTTTTTTATTTTATCAGGTAAGGTCCACTGAACTATATAGCTCCTTTTCAGAAGCTACCAGGCCACAAATGATAAGCTCAACGAAGCGGCTTATCATGTGGAAATGTATAGCGGCCTTATACAAACGCATGTCCCTGAATTTGGAGGGAAACCCCGGAGGACCCGGATAAAAATCTACGCGACCACGGGGAGAGACACGCAAACTCCAAATATACAGCAGGCGTTAGGGTCGGGATCCAACACACGGCCTGCTACACATCAGGAAGGGAGTTAACATTTCGACACCGCGGCATCCCACTACCAAGCATGTGCCACACTTCCTGACCCGATCAGCCGCAAACCGCAAAATCTTCATCGGGGCAGAGATCCACAGGCCACACACGTCACGTTCTCACACAGCCGGTTCGCTCGCCCTCGTCCGCCGTGGTAGTTTTGAATTCACAAGTCCGTGGCGAGGGCCCTGGGAGCGCTCACGTGCCGCTCTGCTGCCAGGGGGGCCAAGGGCGAGTGCCCCGAGCCGCTCCCATTCCGTAGAGTCCCGTATAGCTAAATTTCGATTTAAAGCTTTCGTGACTGCAGGGATTCATCTTCTTGGTTCTTTCGGTAAAGTCACGTGACTTTACCGAAAGAACCAAGAAGATGAATCCTGTATAGTTGTAAGTTTGTAAGTGGAGTAATATTGATAACGCTGCAAATTCGCTCCGTGGAGCCGCGCTTGGATTTCCCAGGAGGCTGTATGCAATTGTGGAGCTGCAGTTTGGGCAGCACCAGAGGACAAAAACGGAACAAAAAAAAGTATCGATTCTTGAATGACCGTCACCTCGTATGTATGGGGCCTATGTTGTGGCTGTGATGATGCCAATGGTGCCACAGCCGTACCATGAATTGTGAACGTATTTATCAATTTACCGAAAGGGCAGTTTATTATTGGTTCTTTCGGTAAAGCCACGTAGAAGGGAAATAGTAAAATAAAATAAAACATAATAAAATTAACTTGTTTTTTTGCTGTTTTATTTTTATTTCCCTTCTACGTGACTTTACCGAAAGAACCAAGAATACGAATCCCTGCAGTCACGAAAGCTTTAAATTGAAAGGGCAGTGTCGGGCTGAGCTGATGTGTCCGTGCAAAATCAGTCACGTTCTGTCTCAGTGGATTGTGGGGGTAATGGAGGGTTTCATCGCTGAAGTGCAATATTCTTCGGGGCCACGGAGCAATAGTGCCTGCCCACGGCATTTGCTTTTGCACTAAACCCTGGAATGGTTTCGACTTCCCCTAGTCTCCTCAGCAGTATATATATGCTGAACTTCTTTCGCACCGTACGTAGCCAACCGTGCTAATAAGAGGTGCGGGGTAAGGGCAACAAATGAACACAAAACGCAGTTTTAAGTAAATTAGTTTTCAATCTCGATATAAAAGTGCATAGCTTCAGTGGCTAAATCGTGACAATTCACAAATCCTCTGGTTTGTAAATCATTACATGGCTAGTATTAGTAATCTAGCGGGTTAAAGGCTGTGCCTATGCTAGAAATGTCAACTTTTTAGACAATTCACACTCGCATACCCTCGCAAGAACCAACACAACCCATTTATTATCATAGTTTCACGTAACAGTTTATTAATTGAAACAGACAGCTTTTACAATATACAAAGAGTTTTTCAAAGCAAGGGACTTTATTTTTTACAAATGTAAACGTTAGAAAAAAACGCAACCGTGGTTTTAAAATGTGTTACGTTGAAGTGTGCGCGGCGAGTGGGAAATTGCACGTGCCATGCGTGACTGGAGGCGACTCGTGAAGGAATCTCCAGGCCAGTTGTGGGGGGGGGGGGCAGTCGCCCTCCAACGTCGTGTTGAATGGCGGCCGTTGTTTTTTTATTTGGCCGTAAAGACAAAACGCACAACCTGTCTGGGTGTCATGGAACTTGTGTGGTCAAGGCACAGCTAAAACCTCATTCACAAAACCCTAAAAACACTCGCACACACGTGTTATGAAACACACTGTGCGCGCTCCGCCGGTGTGCAAGTTCGCTATTTTACAATACGAGCGATGTCATTTATGCTGCGGGCAATTCAAAGGACGGAACTCGTGCAAGCAGTGCTACATATCTATAACCGCTGCATGAGAGGCCAATGATAGTTCTCTAAACTTGAGCCAACCATTCCACGCAGCACCCTCTGCATAGAAAGAGTCTTCGCGACTCGCAGAGGGCAGATGCTTGGTTGTGCATTTAAACCAAAACCAAAATTCTGCAGTACCAAAATATATGTATGTAAGGCTCTATTTAGTTGCGATAGAAATTGGAGGGAACCCGCGTGTTCTGGGCCGAGTGTGCGTTCGCTACAACGAGGTGTCCGCACATTTTATGCCAACAGGGTGCAGAAACTGCATAGCTGCGAGACATTGCGAGTGCTTTGCCTCGGACATGTCGCCAGTTAAATTCGCCTTAACGCATGGCTAGCTGAACAAGACTACGGGCGTGCTATACACGTGGCAATCAAGACGCATTGATAGTTGGTCGTTACTACTGTATATTGTTGAGAATGGCCATGTGTGTGATTTTCGGTTGTATTGTACAAGTACAATGAGTTTGAGTATGGTACTCAGTTGATGGTGATGTAATTATTTTTTAGTATAATGCACTGGATATACTAAAGCCGATACTTACAAAAGCAGCAGGACTTCCAAGCATAGGGCTGCGAGTGCATATCCAATCCAGGTTTCACATTACCATCATCATTGTCATCCTCACTTGCTCATTAAAATGAGCACTGATTAGTGAGTCGATACCACTGGATCCTGTGGAGTAAATGGTCCCTGCCATAGGAACAGTGGCGGCTCCTGCAAAATCTCTCAGGGGGGGCAAATGTCTGGATGATTGATAAGGATAAGGTCCACCCATGCAATGAATAAATTAACAGCTTAAGCATGTAAAGGGAACTTCACTTCTTTAATATTAATGAAAAATAAAGTGACTCTTACAATACATCTTGTTTGTTTATATACTCACTATTAAAACAAACCACTCAAGTTTATTTTATGAAAGATTCCACTAGGTGGCGATAAATTATATTGTTGGATGAAACGTGCTTACGTATGATGACGTTAGCACGTATGATGACGTAAGCACGTTAGTGCATGCCCTCCCGGAAGCCAGAGAATGCATTGCAGCGCCCCCGTTCGAAAAAAACCATCTTTGAATGTAAGTCTATGGGGCCACTCGGGGCGATTCTCAGCCGTAGTGAAATCGCCCAAAAAGAGGCGGTACTCCACAGAACGTGACATGACGCTGATTGGACTATATCCAGAGGCTGACAGTGACGGCTAGCGTGACTCTGTGGTTGAATGACATTGGTGGTGCGTCGCCCAATCGCCCTAATGAAGAAACCGCCCCTGCATAGGAACATGGAGTTTCCACCACCTGCTACATAGCTTCAAAGTTGTCTTTACCACAAATCACAACATAAATTGTAGTCTTTAACGACTGTGACTAGATCGGGCTGCTATCACTTATGTACTTCAATACACTTAAAGTATTGCTTAATACGAGCATGTCCTAAACATCTTCCACTGCAGCATGCATAGCAACCTGGCGTTGTCTCAAGGGAGACCGATTTTAACGTAAACATATCACAGTGCAGGTTCCATTGCTGTGGCAGCGGCAGCATCTCATAACCCCCGAAATAACCGACCGGATCACTGATGTCCGATGTTTAGCATACATTCCTACAAGCTACAGCAAAGTGTTCCACTCGCAATTGGAAGGTTGCAAGTTCAAATCCCAGTTCGTAGTCGACTGAACCCCTCATCATCATCATAGTAGTGTGACATTTTCCCGACTATCGCCAACGAAGAGGAACGCTGCCCCGGGCTCGCTGGAGCGACAGTCACACCGGCTTTTTTTTATTGCATAAATAATGCTACGAGTCTGATGCGTGTTATCTAGGGACGCCGAAAGGCATATCGCCCATTTTGTATTAGCCATCGAACCTTTTGGCTAGCCATTGAGCAAAGACCATCACCACATCGCAAGCTCTTAGATGCGCTCCTGCAGCCGTCTGGAACGCTCTTTATTCCGACATTAGGAATCCTCTAGAGCTGTGCACTTTTAAATCACATAGATTGAAAACTAATTTCTTGAGAGCTGATTTTTCTGTTCAATTTGCTGTCCTTCCCCCGTACCTCCGATGAGTGCGGTTGGCTATGTACAATGCGAAAGAAGTTTAACATATGTACATACAGAGTTCAAGGGCTCTGCTGGTTGGCCAGCTCTCAACCATAGCGGTCCAGCCGCCGAGCGGTCCAGCTGGCTGATCGCCGATTTAAGGGTAAAGGCGTAGGCAAAATTCTAATTGAAAGAGGGGCCCCCCCGTTTGAAGACCCCTTGAAGGCAGAGGGGCACCGATGTGTGTAGAGGTCTGCGGAGGTTGAAAAGGGTCGAGAAGGGGGTCCCAAAAAGCACAACGGATGGGCTAGGGAAAACTCAGTGGAGCTTTTTGAATCTTGTTCGCTACGAGTACACGTCACTGTGTTGCCAGAATAAATAAAGCTCTTCCACCAGTATAGGTCCTGGACTCCCTTTCAAAAAGTATCGATGTGCACTTATTAAAGAAAAGCGTGCATGTGCCTGTGTGCACATGTGTTCGTGCGTGTTTCGACGGAGCACGTGGACTGCACGCGGACACGGAGCGCGCCGCGTCTTCTGCTACCAAATGTGCGATTCACACTGCGTCATCTTAACCACTCCAACCCCTCCTCCAAGGCGGCGGTAGTTCATGCCTCCATACAACCTGAAACAGCAACACCAGCATCACCACCGTGAGCATCACTGCTGTTGTTAACCTCGCCAGAATTAGCACCACCGTCACAACACCCGCGATAATCAACACCCATACGAGCAACGCTACCTTTAGCAACATCATCAATGCCTTCAGGATCACACTTATTCACGTACAGCCCTTTTGTAAAATCCACTGCTGGATGAAAGCCTCTGCACAAGGGCCATTTTACCAGACTTCACCGAGTTGGTCAGTGTGGGTTGACGGCAGGTAGGAGAGACATGGGAGCATATAATACAGTACAACAAGGGATTGTGCTGCACTGCCCTCTGCTGCCCACTGCAAATGGGTGATCACCTACTATGCAGAGTGGTCACCCATTCAAGCACTATCCAGTCTCATATTTGCTCAGCTTCCAAGATCGGATTAAAATCGGGCACTTTCCACGTGCTTTAGCCAAAAGCAACGTCAAAATAGTCAGAGCAAAGACGGTGGTCACCACGTCGCGCGCTTTCAGATGCGCTTCTGCTGCCATCTGGAACGCTGTTCCTTCCGATAATAGGAAGCCACTGGAGCTATGAACGTTTAAATCCAGATTGAAAACTCATTTCTTTAGAGCTGCTTTTTATGTTTAGCTTGTTGTCCTTCCGCCGCACCTCCAATTAGCACGGTTGGCTACGTACGGTGCGAAAGAAACTCAACGTACATATGTACAGTCATACAAGAAAATCAGAACAGATCTCATTAGCACCACCATACTCATCACCACAGCCAGCGTTAAAGAAACAACCACCAGGATCACCACCGGAACTACCAACTACCCACGCAGGCCCCCTGTGCCAAGCCTACCTCCACGTGTTGGCCTCTGCGTCGTACACCTCGATGGTTTTGAGGTAGGTGGTTCCATCAAACCCTCCGACGGCCATGAGCTGCCCATTCACCACGGCTAGGCCCACCTGCACCCAACGTCATCATCATTATCATCATCACCACAATCTTATTTGAGCACAGCGATATTGTTGCACACACCTGCAGCATTAGCTGCTTTGACACTGAATGTTCGATATACAGCAGCTCGGAGTGAAAAGCACATATCCTAAGTTGTGTTTGCGCCAATAATAAATGTATAAGGAAATAGGTGTTATGCGCTGCTCAATTTAAAATTGGCAGCTTGCCTGGAAGTTAACTGTGCTCTACAGCATACTGTGTGCAGAGCTGTAGTTTTTAAGATTGTAAGAAAACAGAGGTTCATGTTTTTAGGGCTGTGGCCACTGGTTAATACTACAAGTGCATTAAACAAAAAACACATTTATTGGATTCTGTTACAAGAATGGCACGAACACCAAAAGCACTTTATAATTAATCATTATTCTGTTGTATAGTACTCGCTGGTTAAAATAAGTGGAACGAGCAATTGGACGGAAAGGTAAATGTATGGATAGCGAGACAGAGGGAGGGACACATGGACAGAGGGATGGATGAATATATGGACAAGAGACAAAGGTTCCCCAATAGCCTAAATAGACTTCTGGGGCAAGTGCTGTTAGCAAGCAGCTATAAAAGCCAACAGCACACGAAGGGGGTGGGGGGTGGCCAGCACCACGCCCGGCCGCCTTTGTCTCCCTAGTGGTGACGTTTACACACCACACCAGGTACTCGTGGAGGGGCAGACAAGCAGAAGGACGGAGGGACACGACGTTCGTTCAGTGGCAAAGATGTATGGAACGTACTCCGCTCCGACGCGAGCTCATGGCGACGACCGGGCTCCATGTGTTTCCGCGGGGGCTGTAGCGCTCTGCCGAGCTCAGCTCGGTGGTGTCGTCACGTCCACCCACCGCGTACAGGCAGTCCTGGTAAACAGCGCAGCCCAGGTGCTTGCGCCGAGTGCCCATTGGCGGCACCGGCGCCCACCGGTTATCGGCGGGGCTGTATCGCTCCACTGTTTGCACACACGCACACACACACGGCCATGCATAATGTACCTTCACGGGCTCTTGGATGGGGCGACACCAAAGGAAACGATGAACACCAACAACTGAAAAAGCGTGCAAAGAGCCAGATGTGGCCCTGGTGAAGTGGGGTAGGATTCGTGGGAAGGGGGGCTCAGGCTAGTGGCTGATTGGCTAGATGTGGCAGTGTTTGGTGGGCAAGCACTCCCCCCATTCAAACCCCATGCTCCATCTCCCCAGTGAAATGTTTGCTTTTTCAGTTTTTGCCCAACTTTCTTGGTGTTTGTGGCACAGCACTGACCTTGACCCAAAAGCCCAGAGGATACCCAATGCTCAAGTGAGCATTGGGTGGTGCTCATCACCATTGGCAGTTCCTGGGCCAAAGGTGAATTTTCTACACCCTACAGAAATGGCCAACTATTTGTCATTTGTCAAATGTTTTCACTCCAGTGTAGGTGCACTTATGGCACCACGGTGGCAAGATGTTAACTACCTCGCCTGGTATACAGGAGGTTGTGGAATCGAACCCAACCCTGACGCCTGTATATTTTAGAGTTTGCACATCTCTCCCTCCGTGGTCATGTGGGTTTTACTCTGCGGTGGGTGGCCAGCACCACGCCCGACCGCCTTTGTCTCTCCAGTGGCAATGTTTACACACCACACCAGGTACTCATTTGAGGCTGAGTCGACCGCTAAGCTACCGCTCCCCACACAACATGCATGCATGCACACACACACACAGCAACACTCAGCATTGGCTGTGTGAGTCAGATGGGCACGAGAGAGAGACCAGTGTTGAGAGGCGATGTCCCGTCTGAGCCCCCGACTGCATACAGGTGTCCCCCGAGGACAGCCACCGCCACCCCGAGTCTCCGCGTGCTCATAGATGCTACCCGGCTCCACTTGTTCTCCTTGGGGTCATATCTAATGATGAGTGCACATACAGAGATTCACACACGCATAGGGGGAGATCAGATCAACGCACACAAACATCTGCCCAAAATAGTCCCATCAGACTGTTGGGGCAAGTCCCGTCAGCGATTACACTGGTCAACAAAAAAAACATTTTTTTCTGGCCTGGACTTTTGCAGTTGTTTTAGACTAATTTCAGGGTGCGGATTCCAAATCTGATTTGCTCTATCACATCTCATTTTATGCTATCGGCATACCCCATTTTCATTGATTTTACCCGAAATTAACTCTGTCACTTATGATTGCAAGTTGTTGCGAGTCAGTGACTGCTTTAGTGTTAAAATATGGTGCTGTATTTTTAGGATAGTGTGTTTCTAATATCATTTTATGGAGATATCCACATTTATTTAATATTTTTCTTCTGCAGTTTTTATTGAAAATGCAATATTTGATATCTCAAAAACCTGATGTGATAGACAAAAACTGATGCCAGATTTGGAATCAGCACCCCAAAATTACCTTGAAACCGTTGGAATACCTTATGCCAGAAAAAGTGTGGTGACCAGTGTTAGCACCTATGAAAGTCGGCACGGCACACAAGGGAGTGGGTGGCCGGCACCACACTCGGCCGCCTTTGTCTCCCGAGTGGTGATATTTACATATCTCTCCAGCTACTCGTATGAGTCTCTGACGACCTCGGGAAGAGAACTCGGGTCGCTGGGATCTTAACACAGCGGGCGCGCGAACCGCTCCACAAACACACGCATGCGCACGCATGCGCGTGTACGCACCTCTCGACAATGTTTAGGCAGCTCACTCCGTCCTGCCCGCCGACGGCGTACAGGAATCCGGCGAGCACAGCCACGCCGACGCTGGTGCGGCACGTGCTGGTGGGCGCCACGTCGCTGCTCCACTGGTTCGTTTTGGGGTCGTACCTGCGCGAGAGCAGCTCCACCGATTAGACGACCACACCGTCAGGTTTCACTGGGTAAAGTCGATCGGCAGGTCGCGTGCGGGACGGAAAACAGCGTGGGTGTTCGGCCCACCGATTCCAAGACGTCTCACCAGCAGGGGAAGACTACCAACCCCCTAATTAGCCTATTGAGAGGGGGGCTCTTCTAGCGCGCCCTCTTGGCGAGGCCCTTGTACCAGCGGTAACATTCGCAAGCGACTGCAGGACTGAACTTTTATCTTTTTTACTGACTAAATAAAAAAATATCATCCTGACCATACATATGGGGCCTCGTATTGAAGCTAGTTACATATCGTTATCAGGACAAAATGCTTATTTATTAAATAACTTAACAGTTTGACACACGTGAAACTGAATGCATGGACAGGCAGAACTTTCTTAGCGCTCAAGATGCGTTCCTGGAGAAGTGAGCCCAAATGGACTCGGCGCTAATAGGGGTCATTATACCATTGTATATACTTATTTCATACAAGAAATATACGAGGGCCTTGGTAATAGCGCTAATATAATAAAACAGGTGGTAAACATTATATCCTAAATAAAAATAATACTTCATTAAGCCATCAGTATTATAAGAAAATCAGTATAAAAATATCACCGAGACGTCGTTTTTACCATCTTCAGAATATCTCCCGAATCCGATCCTTTATTTCTGCTTCAGACGCAGAGAATCTGCTCCGTGCCTTCATCTCATCTCGTATAGACGACAGCACGTCTTACTCGCTGGCGTGGCCAAGAAGGTGCTGATCAATTTGCAACATGTTCAGAATGCGGCTGCTGGGGTGTTAACCAGAACACCTTCTTCTTCTTCCCTGCACTGGCTTCCAGTTTCACATAGAACACAGTTTAAAATCCTTTTGTTAACTTACAAAGTAATCAAACATCTTGCCCCAGCCGACAACATTGACACGCTGGGGATGCAGACCTTCTCTACATCCCCAAGTCGACTCTACGGGTGACCGAGATTTTTCTCGTGTAGCCCCTCCAGGCTATGGAACGCTCTTCTAAGATATATCATGATCTCTGAGTCTGTGGATATTTTTAAAATGCGTCCTAAAACCTATTTATATACGCCTCCGCTTATTGCACTTTTAGTTCATTTAGTAAATGGATTGAAAAAATTTCTTCGTAAAAAATTATGCCGAATATATGCTGCTGCCGTGTCCTGTACAGCACTTTGAGATCCTTGATGAAAAGCACTATATAAATGGCATTAGTATTATTTTGCACTATACATACAAGTGCATTCTACTGTACTCCTAGAAGGCAGCAATGGGAGACAAGGATGGAGCTCCTGTGCTACCAATCTGGGTTCTTAGTGATGCCCCCTCAGTCTAAATTTCTGTAAAGTTTCTCTTCAGTGGCACCTGAAACTCTGTCCTGGTCTCATGACTGGCTAAACGCACTTTAATAGCATTCGATCACAAATCGTGATAATCGAATCGCGGGCGGTGGGGTCCGGTTAGCTCAGCGCGTGCTTCGCTCTCATTGGTTGAGCAAATAAAGCGAGCGGGTACGTTTCCTCGGCCGGCGCTGCCGCGTGTTCTCACTTCTAAGCAGCGCTATTTAGATAAATTGATAGAAAATGTTTTTGTAAAATGTTCTCCAGGACTAAGAACACTATAACGAATCAACGTTCTACGTTATACTCTTAGGTTTTTTCGGTAAAGTCACGTAGGTATAAAATTAATAATAAAATAAAATAATACTAAATGAAAAATAACTAAATTAAATCACGACGTTTCGGAGGCAACACAAGTCTTGATACAGCAAATTTAGCTGTGACGGTCTCACCTAAAGATGGAGACTTGTGTTGCCTCCGAAACGTCGTGATTTAATTTAGTTATTTTTACTTACCTACATGACTTTACCGAAAAAGCCTAAGAGTATGAATCCTTGCAGTCATAAAAGCTTCAAATCTAGTTCTACGTTATCACGCTAAGCGAGGTCTGCCTGTAATGGTTTACGTTTCGGGGAATGGTCCTTCTTCATAGCACGTGCGATGAAGGAAATGTATAGAATGGCGAAAACTAAACTATAGACTTTTCTTTACTAGATAAGACCAACTGAGCTATGTAGCTCTTTATCAGAAGTGACCTGGGCACAAGTGATAGCCCAACCAAGTGGCTTATCGCGTGGAAATTGATCGCAGCCAAATACTCTAAACGCACGTTTCTAAGTGTGGAGGGGAAAAACTGGAGGACCCGGAGAAAAATCCACGCGGCCAAAGGGAGAACATGCAAGCTCCAAATATACAGGTGTCAGGGTGAGGATCGAACCCATGAGCTTCTGTATACCAGGTAAGGTAGTTAACATCTTACCACCGTGGCGCCATAATTGCTATGAAGAAGGCACATTGACAGAAACGTTGCCGATTATACATGTATACGTTTAAGGCCAGAGTGTTATTGATGGACGTGTTAGTTTCCTTGCTGTGCTTGTGCACACTGCCAATGCTGACGCTCCACCAAATAATTTATGAACACGTTAGTTTGTCCGAGTACGTCTGAGCCCGTGGCATTATGAGCATTTATCTCGTACTAAAAAAACAGTGGACAAATTATGTGTATGTGAATTAAGAGTCCTAATTAGTTGATATACTTATGGGCAGTTGAAAAGCCACTGAATGATTTATACTAATAATTATCCGCATCTTTGAAGTCTGAAATGTACGTCCGGAATCGTCGAAATTGTGGAAATGCCCGTGCACATGTGCATGCATGGATTAGTATGCACAAGTGCAAGCACAGGTGAGAAGAGGAGCAGGTGGAGGTGTGTGGAATAGATTTATGATGCATGCTCGTGGCCAAGTCTGTGTTTGATGTGCATCACACATGTAGACCAATGGCAAAACTTCAGAAAACATCACAATCAAAAGCAGCAGTTCACTATTTCAGGTCTGTACACGAGTGCTGTGAGTCAGCCTTCACATACACAGCAGCACACAATCACTCATAAGCAAAGCAGCACTCACACAGCAGTACACTGTCAATCATACATCATCCACTCATTCACAGCAGCACTCAGCAGCACTCAGCTACTCACAAACTCATAAAGCAACCTTTACTCAGCGTGGCTGCGTTCGCAGGATAAGATCGCCTGCCGGCGTCTCATGGATACCTCCACGCCCTGAGGGGTCCGCGCCTTACAATCATACATCACTCACCATAGCACTCACACGTACATCCCTCAAGCACTCACTCATCCACCAAAGATCCCCAGAATGTCCTTAACAGACTGTTGGGGCAAGCGCTCCTAGCGAGTACCTATGAAGGTCGGCACGGCACACAAGGGGGTGGGTGGCCAGCACCACGCCTGGCCGCCTTTGTCTGTCTACCGAGTGGCGATGTTTACACACCACACCACATACTTATTTGAGGCTGAGAATACCTAGGGGACGCCCAAAACCGGTTCAGATAATCATCACTGGTGTTGGCCGTGATCGGGAAACGAACTCGGGTCACCGGGTTCGTAGCGCGGCCCGCTAACCGCCACTGCTCCCCACAGAGGCACTCGCTCATACGTCCCTTAATCGCCCCGCCGACTCGCTCGCTTGCACGCACCGTTCCACACTGTTGAGGTAGGACGATCCATCGTGGCCGCCCACAGCATAGAGGAGGTCATCGAGCACGGCCACCCCCACGCCGCAGCGCCGCTTACTCATGGAGGCCACCATGCGCCACTCGTTGGTCTGCGGATCGTAGCGCTCCACGCTGGAGATGGCGTCGCCGCTGCACCAGCCACCCACTGCACGGTGATGGACAGGGAGAAAAGATCCCCTTGTAGCCTTAACAGACTGTTGAGGTAATTTCTGTTAGCAAACACCTATTAAACTAAACAAACGATTTAAATTTTACCTGCCAAGGCCCACGAAGCTGTATAGGTCTTTTTCAGAAGCGACCTGGCCACAAATGATAGCTCAAAGTGGCTAATCATGTGGAAATTTACAGCAGCCAAATATTCCAAAAACATGTTTCTAAATGTGCAGGGGAAAAACTGGAGGACCTGGAGAAAAATCCACGCCACCACGGGGGGGGGGGGAGAGGCACATGCAAACTCTGAATATACAGCAGGCATCATGGTCGGGATCGAACCCACGACCGCCCGCACCTGCGCACATCCCATAACAGCTCACCTGCGAAGAGCACCTCCCCGCAGCGGATGGGCTTGCGGGGTTTCGTGCGGGGGCCCTGCATGAGTGGTCTTTCTTGGGGCAGAAGCAAATAGTTCTTGGCTTCATCCACGAGGTCTCTTGAGCGGCAAACAGAGAAAAACAACAAAACATTAATGCACGCAGCGAGCGCACGGCACAAAACAACGGGGGATGGTGGAGGGGGAGGAGCATAATACAAGAATCCCCCGCGATACATAAGGGATGCGTTCCTGGGAAATGTTACTTAACTCAAAAGTACTTAAAGCGAGCTCTAAGTTCACATAAACATAATGTTAAAATCAGGGGTTGCGTTGCTAGCCGACATTTCTGGAAAATGCGTGACTAAATGTCATGAAGTGTAGGTTTGCAGCGCCCCCTGCATGAAAACGACGGAAAGTGCAGCGTTCATCACAGAACAGGACCCTGCGGGGTGGGCTGGTAGGAACGAATAACCAACGAATATAAACATAATGTATTATTACACTTGTTTAGCCAGGAAAGCCCCACTGAGTCTAAAGGTTTTTCTAGGGTCCTGCCAAGTGTTTGCAGTAGGGGGCGATGTTGCTACACCTAATCGGACGATACGAAGGGAGAGTTTGAGGCCTAGTTCTAGGCTTTAGGCCTAGCTGTAGGCTTTAGGCCGCTGTGAGTTAATTTTTTTATTTAAATGTATTAATTATTTATGTAAAAGCTTTAAATGTAAATGTTTCTATTTAAAAACATCAGGGAATGTAACATTGTTAAACATTAACTCCCTTTCACACACGCGGAGGTACGATACGAAGGGAGAGTTTGAGGCCTAGTTCTAGGCTTTAGGCCTAGCTGTAGGCTTTAGGCCGCCGTGAGTTAATTTTTAATTTAAACGTTTTAATTATTTATGTAAAAGCTTTAAATGTAAATGTTTCTATTTAAAAGCATCAGGGAATGTAACATTGTTAAACATTAACTCCCTTGCACACACGCGGGCGTACGATACGAAGGGAGAGTTTGAGGCATAGTTCGAGGCTTTAGGCTTAGCTGTAGGCTTTAGGCCGCTGTGAGTTAAATTTTAATTTAAAAGTTTTAATTAAAAGCTATCTCAGGGAATTATAAGGGAATGTAACACTTGTTTAGCCAGGAAAGCGTCACTGAGTGTAAAGGTTTTTAAATTAAAAGCCATCTCAGGGAATTATAAGGGAATGTTACACTTGTTTAGTCAGGAAAGCATCACTGAGTCTAAAGGTTTTGGTAGGGTCCTGCCAAGTGTTTGCAGTAGGGGGCGATGTTGCTACACGGACGGACGGACGATATAATCTATTGTAGGCTGGTTCACTTCGTTCCTACCAGTATAAAGTTGTACGCTTATACGAGTATTAAATCAGAAACGGAAATGCAAAAAGTGCACAATGCGGAAACTTATCGTGGGGGATTCCTGTACCTTTGTTAGGATTCGTGTGGGTCACCACAATCTTCTAATGTCAAACTGAGCCATAATTAACACTGTAAAAGTCCCATATTGCTAGTCAAGGCTCAGCCCAGACTTGGCTCTGGTTCAAGTAGGCCATGGCTCAAATCCACGTGCTTAATTTGAGCCGGCCTTTGAGCACGATCCCAGCCATGCTCAAGATTTCCTCCTGTGCCAAGCCATGGATGACGAGCCGCTAATGCGTCTCTGGAAGCAACTCAGCAGCACACGCCTGAACTGAGCCATGTTAAGCCAGGGCTGAGCTGCGACTAAGAATATGACCCGAAGAAGTCTGTAGTCATGCCTCACACTGGTCTATCCAAGCTAGGGGAATGGATAACCCAGAATTATAATAGAAGTGGGTGGAATGTGTAGTTAATTTTTGTTGAAATTATAAGTTATTTTTTTCATTTCATCGTTCAAGCTCGCTTGCCTTTTTTGAGAAGTATTCCCTTCTTGGTCAAAAAACGTAGATCCTTCTTGTCAGTAGCAGGAAAACAAACCTGTTATTATATTTAATTAACGGCATCTTTGTGAGTGTACATGTTCGCAGGAGTGTCAAATTTATGCATCTGCGTTCCTGACTCGCCTAGTTATTCTGAGTAGTATCATTGTGTAGGTGTAATTAAAGGATATTCAAGTATTACATCAAATTCCGGGGTCCACTCAGCCTAACTTTCCTCCAACATGGATACAGCACATACCGTTTTGTGGCATGTCCACAGTGGTGATCCCATGTAGACACTGGCGTGTACAATAGACCGACCCAAACTGGACGTCTGTTAAGAAGAGCGTCAAAGCTCATCGGATTCCTCCAGTCTAATTAAAGATTCTGATTACGAATGTGATATCCCGACTCCTGGCTCTGCCTTCAAACGAGGTGAGCTCAAGCCCCATTGCTCACTTGAGCACGAAGAAGTCACGGCAGTGACCGCAGAAACAATACATCATCTTTCCTGCCAAGGTGATGGTTTTGATGTTCACGTAAAATGTATCCCAACATTCGTGATTTTCTGCGAATCCTGTTCAGCCGACGACACGGAAATTGGCATGGCAGCCTCCCGTGGGTTTCGCGGAACACACGCACCACTCGTGATAGCGTGGCCGGCTACCTGCATGCCTCGTCACTCTTCACCAGAAGGTCCGTCCCCACTGTGCCCACCAGGAACTTGGGTGTGAGCAGGGGCAGACGGACGTGTTGCAGCACCTACACAAAGACAAAGATCCCCCGTATAGCCTTTAACAGACTGTTAGAGCAAGCGCTATCATGGGACCTTGCTTACCAGTATCAAAGAATTAAAAATAAGAATGTTTTACCCTTTCTGGCAATAAAACAGGTGTTAAGATGTTCAAACACCAAATAGATAGATTTTGCATTAACTACACATATCTGTGGTTAATGCAGACTTGATTCCTTGCAAAAGGTTTCTATTTGGTGTTTGAACATTTTAACACCTCCTGTGTTATTGCCAGAAAAGGTCAAACCTATTCTTATTTTTCATTGACCAAGTGTTGTTCGCGAGCACCTATGAAGGCCGGCACGGCACACGAGGGGGTGGGTGGCCAACACGACACCCGGCACCTTTGCCTCCCCAGTGGTGATGTTTACAAACCGCACCAGGTACTCGTTTGAGGCAGAGTCGACCTAGGGGAGGCCTAGCGTGATAACCGTTACAGTAACGCACACACATACGGAGAAGAAGATCCCTCGCGTAACCTTATACGGCAATAACAAAAGTACGGCATCTTGAGATGCAGCTGCATTTAGATGCTATACAGATATACATTGTATGGTTTAATTGGATTGAATCATTGCCTGCTAGAGAGATCCACTGACGGGACTTTGTCCTAACCCTAATTGATACACCCATATACAAACAAGACACAGGCCTTCCTATAGACAAACCGGCTGCTTAGGCACATGTGCGGAGATTTTTTGTTTGGCATCACACATACACCTTTGCTACCCAAGCAGTGATAACACAAACACTGGATACTCATTTTAGGTCGAGTTAACCTAGAGGAGAGGGGCGATAATCAAGTACCATGCGCCCCGTGTGTGTGGCAAGGATTCCGGGCTGGGATGCTGCGATTGCGTCAGTGCGTTTTCAGAATACTATTTCACTGCTATCGAGACTGTAATACATTTTCAACAAGACGAATAGTCACACACTGTTGACACTATACTCGTTGGTTCTTTCGGTAAAGTTACGTAGGTGAAAAAATAAAATAAAAATTAAGAATTAAAATAAAAAATAGAAATAACTAAATTAAATCACCACGTTTCGGAAGCAACAAAAGCTTCCGTCATCAGGTGGGACAACCACAGTAAGAAACAAAAATTACTGTAGTGGGCAAAGACAGCTGCTTGTGACAAGCGATTATATAAGGTAAAGAGGGGGGGGAGGAGCCAGGGAGGAGATATGCAGGGGGTGGGGATTGTGGAGTAGGGGGGGAGAGAGTGACTTCTGTTGAGACACGGCTGGTGAGACAATGCTGGCGCTGGGAGCGGCGGGGGGGGGTGCTACAGAAACTGGGAATGCGGGTATAGAAGAAAGCTATAAAAGCCATTAAGATTTTACCTGGTTAATGACACTATTAAAGCACAAACGAGATTTGGGTGGTGCTCATCAATGTGGGTGGCCCTAAGCAAGTGGTGGAAGTTGTGCATTCATACGCGAGGGGGGGCAGTTTTGTGGTGCAGCCACTGTATCCTATTACCATCAGCAAGAGGAGCGATATAGTTACCGCTACTATGTGTGCCTTATGTGCTTTTATGTTGTCAAAGCATGAGCTTGCCGCTCTACTAAGTGGGGATGTACTGAATACTTGATTGAAAACAGGTTCTTACGCTCACAATAAAAGCTTCAAATTTAGTTTCAGGAAGTGATTATTTTATTTATTGACTGAGGGACGACCAAGCTACGTAGAACAGATTGTTATCGGGTGATAATGTGCTATGATACCAGCAGATGGCAGTGCAGCAAGATCAACTGTTGTGCTAAACTGGTCAAACATCTAATAATAGGGTTTATTCCCTTTTTTCTGGCAACAAAACTCACCATTTGAGGCGATGCTCAAAAGAAAGCCGTCTCTGGTGTGGACCAATCAGTTTCAAGGACAATGCATATATTATCAGTGTGTTTTGTTTGCATTCTGACCGCAAGTATTGTGGTTAATGCAGACATGATTCCTTGTAAAAAAGGTTTCAGTTTTGTTTCCAGAAAAAAGGGGAAAAACCTTATTATTATATTTTGGCACTGGCAAAGGAGGTCTAATGATGGTCAAACATCTCGTCTCCACCTGAACTAACCCGTACTGACGAGCGTGGCAAAATCTGGTCGTGTAACCTCCACGACCTACACAGCATGGGGAGGCTCTCAACCTGCAGTGGCTTTACATTAGGGGCATACAAGTACCTAGCGGAGGCCTAGGAAGGACACAACCACCGATCAGCGGTTACGCAAGCGCGCACACCAAGCAGGCACCTGGGGTAGCTGTGGCCGGCGCTCCTGGATGTTGTATTTGACCCAGGCGATGACGGCGCTGTACACCTGCTCTTCGCTGCGCACGTTTAGCTCATCACTAGATATGATGTCGATGAGCTGGTTGGCAGGAAGCAGCATGAACTCTTCACTCTCCATTACCTGCGAAAGCAACAGATGCCCCGCTTCATGTCAGCCTGGATTACTGGGCACAGTGTTATTAGGGAGCACCTATTGATAGCTGGGTGGTGGTGGTACACGCCTGTAATCCAGCGCCGTGGAGACGAGGGGTGGTGGATCACACACATGTCATAACAACTTAATTCCCGTGGCTTTACCGCCAGGATAAAGCGGTAAAGCAAAAATCTGGACTCGATCCGTTCCCTCTGTATGGGATAGTATTGTCACCTCGCACGTGTGGGCTTTCTCCAGGTGCTCCGGTTTCCTCTCACATATATCAGCACATTAATTGGCTAAAAACACCTTCATATATAGAGGACCACAAACATTTTACACGCCAGCTCACCACCTAGCTGCTGCCTTCCTATTTGTCTATAGTTCCTCCTCACACACCTCAAAGTCCTGCTCTCTCCTGTCTTCCAGAGTGAGCGGATACTGTGCGGCACATTGCGAGTTGAAATTGTTTATTGCACAGAAAACTGAAATTGTTGGTGGATTCATTACCCTTTGTGGAGATTAGTATCGTGCATTGATAGCCACACACTTGCTACTTGCAACACACACATAATTGCATTACAAGTACCCTCAACTGCGCACGTAAGCATAACTACATACATACAAAATAACACCCACACAATTAGTTACCAACACAATGAAAGTGAACGGCAATCTCTTTTGCACGTCACAATGAAAGTGGCAGAAATATATTTTTAAAAGGAATCCACAGCCAAATAAAACAGAGCCTCTTATAGACACACTCCTATGATAATAGGTCTTTCCCCTTTTTTCTGGCAACAAAACAGGTGTTAAGATGTTAAAACACCAAACTGAAGCCTTTTACAAGGAATCATGTCTGCATTAACCACAATGCTTGTGGTCAGAATGCAAACAAAAAACAAACGCTGATAATATATGCATTGTCCTCTGGTCAAAAAGGCATCCTCTGGTCTAACACTATTTGAGACGAGGCTCAAAAGAAAGCTGTCTCTGGTGTGGACCAATATATTTCAAAGACAATGCATATATTAGAGTATTTTTTGGTTTGCATTCTGACCACAAGCATTGTGGTTAATGCAGACATGATTCCTCGTAAAAGGTTTAAGTTTGGTGTTTTAACAACTTAACACCTGTTTTGTTGCCAGAAAAAAAGGTGGAAAAATTTAGTTGTTTCATTTAAATTTATTTTATTTTATTTTCTACCTACGTGACTTTACCAAAAAAACAAAAAGTATGGATCCTTGCAGTCACGAAAACTTCAAATCGAGAACGTTATATTTAGTTCTGCTGTGTGTAGTGGGTGCAGATCCTAAGCCACAAAAGTAGCTGTGTGATATCCCGCCTCTGCGGGCTGTCCTCGAACATGGGAGCTTGCAGCACTGCTCTGCGAGAGAAACCAACGAATGCTTGGGCTCGTGACACGACACCCTGAAATACAATTGGCCCAAACATGCGCTGTGAGAGTGAATCTGCATTGACTTGGTGGGGGCTGTGTGGCCTGGCTGTGTGGTCTGGCTTGTGTGTCTGCAGAGGGCCACCTCCTGGAAGTTGTGCTGCGTGAACTTGTCGGCGGTGCGCAGCAGGTCTCGGCACGCGTGCGTATCGGCGAAGGCCCGGATTCCCAGGCAGTTGGAGGGGTCCAGCTGCCGCTTCAGGAACTCGCAGCAGGTGTCCTGTATCTCGGCCAGTTGCAGCAGGCAGGCGGCCGGCAGCAGGGCCTGCACGTTGCACTCCTCCACCGTGATCTGTGGATCGCAGCAACGCAGACTGCATTAGAAGCAAGCGGTGTTCTGCTCAAATGCAAGAACGGTGAGATTCTCATCTCGTTTTACGGACCTTAGTTTGTTGTCGAAATTCTGCTGTCCTGTGGTTCAGGGGTGAGCCAAACAACTGCCGACTTTACACAAAGTGGTACTCATTTTATAGGTCCCAGCGGCAAGGTAATCAGAGTAGAATTCCAACAGGGATAAGAACTCACAAACTTCTTATTGGGAGTCACTCTCTCTAAGCACAGTGTGGCTTAGCCAAGTCAAAGTAAACCCCAAACAAATGTCATTTCCAGCTGTGATGGCATGCAGCTATAATGAATATACACATATATGATTAGCACGGTTGGCTACGTATGGTGTGAAAGAAATTCAACATAATAAAATATTTCTTCATGTACTGTAAATCTAAATTTCCAGGGTCTCCCTTGCAAGAGATGCAGTGTCTCAACTCATTATTGTCAAGCGTATATAACATTTAAAATGGACTAGAGATTACATAACCTCACTGCATGTCATGTAAAATGTATCATGCACTGCCGAACATGTGCTAAACCAATTAAACCCATTATCTATGGGTCTTTCGGTAAAGCCACGTAGATAGAAAAATAAAAAAAATATCACGACGTTTCGATCGCAACACAAGCAATCGTCTTCAGGTGAGAGAGCTCTGATACAGCTCTGATACAGCTCTCTCTCCCCTGAATACGATTGCTTGTGTTGCGATCGAAACGTCGTGATTTTATTATTCTTTTTCTATCTACGTGGCTTTACCGAAAGACCCATAGAATATGTATTCCTGCAGTCACGAAAGCTTTAAGTCAATTAAACCCAACGTAAAAAACACCTTTTACTGTATATTTATTAAACTACATATACTCGTGCGTGTAGTGGGTGTTACTAATAAACCACTAAATACAATGTACTTACTGTATACTATGTGTCGTGTACCATATAATACAGGAATCCCCTGCTATACATTGCTACATTATGCATTGTTTTGCTAATTCGTTGTCGAATAATTTGGGAATATAATTCCTTATGAGTGTAATCTTCCCCAAAATGCGGGAAAAAAAAATGGCTACATTTGAAAACTTGGGATGCACGTTGTGAAAACTAACAATTTTGCGGTGTTATACCACACGATACACGCATAGCGCGTACCACCGAAAATCCCTCCGCCACACGGCGGAAGCTGGACTCGACAATGTGGAGGAGTCGGTCATGGTGGAGTTGAGTCCCATGGTGAGGCCAATAAAATTATACCACCACCACGAATGTTAAAAACTTATCAGGGCCCTTTATTTATTTGGAAGCAGCAATGGACATCTTCAGTGAGGATGATTCAAACTGAAAACGTAGCTGTGCAGTTAACAGGATATTAACTAGTAGCATTCACAGCTATAAGCTGTACCAGCAGAATAAGAAAATTCTGTGCATTTATCTTTCGACAGATGCTTTTTTAAATGTTCTGCCATCAGGCCAGAAGGTCTGGGGAAGAGCCTAAGAAGAGAGACAGCTTCCTCTGGTGAGCATAGCTGAGGCAGCAGCTTCATCGTCAGAAGAAGAGGCAGCTGGTCCTGCCCCTTCGTTTGCATAACTCCACCACCGCTCACCACAAGAGGACTCGATGAGAAAGTTTTTCAACTATCTCTGGTAAATTCAAATTATTAGCATTTATTATTAGTTAAAATTAATGTCAGCTTACAATCATATGCATTTTGGTACACTTTATGACAGTAATTCTTTTTTTTATGTTGGCTAGGAACGCAAACCCTGGTTTTAACGTTATGTCTGTGGAACATGATAGTTCACTTTAAGTAATTTTGAGTAAAGTAGCATTTCCCTGTAACACATCGCGTGGGATTCCTGTATTATATTCCTCGCACTCCACCCCTCCACCTAACCCCCGCAGCTCCTCCACCATCCCCTGTGTATCCAAGCACTATCCAGGCTCAACAACCCTGCTTTGTTTATAAATCCTATAAGATCAGGCGCATCCCAGCTGATTTGGTCATACACAACTGCCTTAAACACTCAACACAAAGGTTGACATCTTTCGCTCTCCTAAAGTGGATGAGAGTCCATTAATGGCCCAGCCTGCTAAAGCAGCAACACTGTGTGCACGGCTGGTGGCATCACCTGTGCCGTGTAGGCAAAGTCAATGAGCAGCTCCATGGCCGTCTCGTCGACGTCACGGATGGACACCTCAGTCTGCCGCGACTCGGCCAGCTCGCCCGTGAACATGGCGTGGAAGTAGGGGGAGCACGCCGACAGCACCACGCGGTGCGCGTAAATCTTGCGGCTGCCCACCTGCCAAAGACAAACGGGTTGGTGGGGCGTGAATGTGCGATGCCATCACTGCGCCTCCTCTACTGGGAGGTGGGTCTGTGGGAGGCGAGAATGCCATTGCTCTTGTAAGATTATAGACAATATGGAATGGTGGAAGGTGCAAATTTACCATCTTATTTTTATATATACACTGGTAATAGAGAAGCAGGCTTTGTCCGCTTTTTATTGACTACAGCATAATGCATCACAAGAAGCCAATGACTTCATTCATTGATCGGAGATCATATATTTTGAAGTATTCAGCATGAGACTTAAAGCTATTTGGACCTTGTAGCTGACCACTATGAAAAAAACTAATACATCTCAAGGCAGTAACTTTTGGGAACTCTCATTAGCAAAAGGTTGATTGGGTTTGTGCCGAATTTCAGTCGGTCACCATCCTCTGTGTGTATTAGACAGATTCTTTGATATTTTTTCCATATTATTAATCTCAAATATACCATGGAATCATGTCAACATCCTTCCTTTGATGCAACTATAAATTCCTCCATTCAAAAGCACGGGGCAATGACGAGATTGTATTCACTGCAGAGCAGGGTGAAGCCATCAACTCGCTACGAGAGCTATATTGTGTTGCTAAAGCTGGTGGTGGTTCAAATTGTGGCCGTTGTGTGGGTGATGATGTTATAGAGATTCGGGAAGAGAATATAATCTTGTGAAGGTGGTATTGGGGATTGCGACAACCCGCTGGTGTTTGTGACGTTGACATTTGTGGCGCTTGTGACAAAGCTATTGGTGGTGGCGACGGTGTGTGATGATGGTATTGGTGACGGTGGTCGTGGCAACGTTCGCGTGCGTGTGCGAGCACGAACCGCCAGCACGACATCGCAGAGCTCGCGGTGTCGCCGGAGCACGCTGATGGCCTCCAGGGTGATGCGTGGATGCTTCTCGGACATGTAGACCATGCGCGCCGGTGTAGGCACGCCCTCGGGCAGAGCGTTGGGGTCCCCGCCGCCGCTCGATCGGCTCGTCACGTCCATCGCTCGCAGCATTGCTGCGCACGCAAAGTCAAGGCGAGAATCAGTCACAAGAATTGGCCGTGGAGACATTGACACGTTTTTTTCCAGAATTGTAACAAAAGAGATAGTACTACTGTATAATATATCTTGCATGGCTGAAAAGGGAATAAGGCATTGACTTGACAGCACACGACTATTTCGTAATTATTTTCATGAGCAAATGCAACACTACGTCGTTGTTAGAATGCTCGATTGCTGCTCTGTCGCTAAGCAGCAGTCGAACCGCATAGAAATGTGCCAACTTGGCATCTACGGGAGCCAAAACCGAGGCTTTCACAGTCACTCCTGGATTGTTATGATGCCACGTGCAGTGAAACATTGCAAAGGTTTTGTGACAAGCAGACAGTGCAGGCAAGTGAGGCATGTGATTGAATAAATAATGCTTGTGGTACGGTGCTGTTGGCACACCTGTGGAGGAAATCGTTCTTCTATAACACGGTAGTTGCGTTCGTGAAGAACACTGGGTTGTGGAAAAATTGCGTTGTAATAAATACTATATAATATAGGGTAAAGCACAGCCCGTAATAACACGTGAGATGCATACGCAAGCTCAACTAACACCGAGGCGTGTAGGTAGCATCTAGAAGCATTCAGCAGCATCCTGCCTTGTACGATGCTACGCCGAGGCATACGTACAACATCTTGTTCCTCTCAATTGCGTTACATATAATTGACATCCGTGTTATAAAAAAAGGTGTTCCCTAATACATTCATCACGTTATATCCAATTCGCATTATGAAAATACACGTCACAGCACTGCAGTAACTTAAGTACCTCCCCGCTCAAATTACCAATGGGGCAGCACACATCTGCAGGTAGTCAAGAACCAAAGATATAAATTCTACATTCCCATGACAAGCACTTTTTTACCTAAAGTACTACTCTTGGAATTCCACAATGTGGTATTCGTTTTATCAATCTCAAAGAAAATTGTCTGAGGTAACCTCTGACTGGGATTTGAACACGCAACCTACCTCGTAATTTGTGAGTCAACAATTCTAACAACATAAGAGCACCACCAGGTCACACAGAAAATAAACATGTATACTAACCATAATTCTTTATTCAGCGAACTCACTGAATATATCAATACTCTTGTGGTGTTGGGAGAATTTCCTTCATGATTATTTTGTAAATATCAAGAAACCACAGTATTCTAATTAAATCCATGCATGAGAAGTTCGCATTTAAAACGTCTGCAGAGATGGGTTGAAGAAGCTGTTTGCTACAATGCCATTCCTGGCCACCTCATAACCAAGTGGGTTGGAAGTGTGATACGTGAAAAAATTTTTGTAATTAGCAGATAACTGACAGCATGTATAAGTTGTTAGCAATTAAAAAAAATGTACGTTTCAACTGTTTTTACAGAATGTATCGTTTATTTTTCAGAATATAAAAAGCAGTTTAATTCGTTTTTAAAAATATATTTTAAAAAGTGTGACAATTTATATGGCCCATCATGCCATGAGTCACAGATGCAGAGTCAATAGGGAATCACATTGGGGTACAGCCATGGACGAGAGATCCTACAGAACTACTTCTGGAGTCACTTCATTAGGCGTCTCTCACACAACACTAGATGCCATTTTAAACTCTAAAAGAAGCCATTCTCTGCATGCCAATAACTATATATACTAGCCTTTCGCCCATTCAAGGACGGGTGTATTTCAGTAAATCCGAAACTTTCAAGCGAAAAGCAGACCGCGACGTGATATTCATTGCATCAATTTGTGTGCAATTTGTAAGGCCGCGGTGACAAAGACTTATTTAATTTCAAGGCTATAATCCCTTGTTCATCATGACGTCCTTTTTACTTCTATCTCTCAATAGTGTTATGGAGACCGCGTGACGTGAGGGTTTTGCCTTTGTAGTGAGGGTTGTAAGTTAACGCTGAGGAGGGGGGAGGAGGCGCCTCGCCCCCCCCCCCCCATGTGGAGTGACGTCACCCGCTAATTATTATGAATGGTGGGGGTGTCCATTTGGAAGACATCACCTCTTCATGATTATTAATGAGGGGGGCTCTTCGAGGTGGAGTGACGTTACCTGTTCATGATTATGAATGAAGGGGGCTGGCCAACGTGGAGTGTCGTCACGTGCGGGACACACAGACATTATTGGCTCATTATAGTAGTATAAATACTGTCTTTACAAATGCCAGCACTTTGAACTAGGCTGCACTCGTTTGTATATATTATGCAGTCATTAGTAACCGGACAGAGAACACTTGGAAACCTGGCTTAGGATCTAGGCACATGAATTTTTTTTACTGTTCGTAAAAGCTTCCATGTGCTCGTATTCAATGGTCCACAAAGTCTTTCATCAAACCAAATTACACATGTCAGCACCTTCACGAGTGCAAGCAACTGCAGCTGTGGAACCTTGAAGTGGAATGTTGGGTTGAGTGATCGACCAGAATGGCGAATTACAGGGGTATACCACCTTCTGCACTCTCATTTACAGTCATTTCACAGTGCCTTCAAGAACTCCTGCATTATAGCCTTGCCATTTGTCAGTTTAATGTTACCTATAATTATAACGCTGTATTCCCGAAAGTGCACGTAATTTGTAATATTGTTTTACATATAGCTTTGTATGACTTTCGTTTTCCTGAGAGTAGTGGCGCAGTAATTAGCGCAATTGTGTATCGGCTCTGTGAACGTGGCAGACAAAGTTCGATCCCCGGCCAGTGACTAACAATCAGTGTAGAGTGACATCTGAATCAGTACTTCGTCGAGCAGTGGATTGACATGGTGATATAGTTTTTGTTTTATTATTTTCATAAATGTACAATTCATGTTGCGCATTGGAGCCTTGCACCTGCATGTATCCTTGTTCATATACTTACACCAGGTAAAACAATTAATAAAATAAATTAAAACAACTAAATTAAATCACGACGTTTCGGAGGCTGCACAAGCCTCCTCCCCTCATCAGGTGTAAAAAGGCACAGCAAAATAACTAGCGAGAGTTATTTTGCTGTGCCATTTTACACCTGATGAGGCTTGTGTTGCCTCTGAAACGTCGTGATTTAATTTAGTTGTTTTCATATATTTTATTTTATTGTTTTACCTACGTGACTTTACCGAAAAAACCAAAGAGTATGAATCCTTGCAGTCACGAAAGCTTCAAATATAGAACTTGAGAGCTACTTTGTGACAAGGGGAAACCAGCAGAAAAGTTGATTTGGCTGTTTTTATGATTATTGATGTCAACTGCCTTTCCCTAAACCCATTAATTATATCGCATTTACCTGAATAGGTTCTTAGTATGAATCAAGATACGTTCCTACATACCCAAATTACTTTCCACCAACATACTTGATTAGTGCCTCCATAGGGCATACCTCTATAGGTTAGAGGAACATCTTTATCTAAAAGGACATTGAGCATGCCCCATAAGAGTGGTTGAACATCAGGAGCGGCAACTCAAAAGATAACAATTACCAGTCCAGTAACCACATTTTTTTAAATAGCAAGTTTAATATTCTTAGGTTTTTTCGGTAAAGTCACGTAGGTAAAAAATTAAAATTAATAAAAGTAAAATAAAATAAAAATCACGACGTTTCGGAGGCAACACAAGCTTCCGTCTTCAGGTGGAACCGTCACAGCCACGACAGCTGTATCAAGTAAATGAAAGATTACAAGAGCTACCACTCCGTATATAATCTCTCATTTACTTGATACAGCTGTCGTGGCTGTGACGGTTCCACCTGAAGACAGGAAGCCTGTGTTGCCTCCGAAACGTCATGATTTTTATTTTATTTTACTTTTATTAATTTTAATTTTTTACCTACGTGGTGACTTTACCGAAAAAACCTAAGAATATGAATCCTTGCAGTCACGAAAGCTTCAAATCTAGAAGCAAGTTTAATGTAAATCTGTTAAAACCCACATATTATTAGAGCACTACACAGCGCTCATCTCTTTTGCTGGTCCTGAGCCCGAAAAGGGATAATCTACGAGTGCAAGTCCAAATTTCACACAGCAGCCACTATTCTTTGGGTTCTTCGGTAAAGTCACGTAGAACAATTTTTTTTTTTACAAATTTGTTCTACGTGACTTTACCTAAAGAACCAAAGAATATTAACTCCTGCAGTCACGAAAGCTTTAAGTCCAGATTTAACAGCAGCCACTGTCAAACTCCCATCAAGTGGTGCTCATTTTTCTGCCTGCTAAAGGAGGATTAACACATGGGTGAGTTAATTTAAGTAATACGGGTAACAGCTGTTTCCCTAACTTTTGGGAGCAAGCCATTTTTGGAATTCTGCTTCTCCTCCACTAATACCCTTCAAGGGACACCCACCCAGGATATGCAATATTGGCCCCGAAATTCCGAATAATCCCCACGCACTTTAATTATGGTGGTGATGGGTCAGTCTGATCTAGCTGGGCTTTTACCACTTGTGTCCTTAGGATTTACAAACTGCTTTTTATTTCTATGGCAGTGTGGTGTTGTATTAGAATGTCCTCACCTAGCTGGTCATGTCACGATGTGGCAAAGCATTTGACTAATAAATGGAATGCTATAGCTTCAAAATGTGGTCAAGCGTTCAGCGAGTCCATATTTTCCCTGGTGCTCATAAATCGAATACCACTGTTTATAGTGATTGTCCGACAGAGGCTGGACCCTGCTGTTAAATGATGAATGTCTACCACTGGCTCAGGAATGCCAACACAGATGAGCAATGCGCCACACTCGTATAAGCGGGCAGACACTTTAACTTACAAGTTTAATACATTCAACATAGACATAGCATGGTATATGAGGAGTATAATTTTTCTCGACTGAAATAAAACCAATGCGGCATTGTGAATGCAACTAAATATAAGGTACCTAAACTTAACACACTGCACAGCCGTCCTCTGAACAGCTGGTTCAGTCCTGCTCTAATAGGACTCTCACCATAACACACAGAACATTCCTTTCAACAAGTTCACAGAAATAAAATGTAAGATAAACACTAACTTAAATTTATTTCTCCAACTCACCCAGAGCACAATTCAACCGTAGCCACTTAACTAGTGCGTGTTTGCACTGTAAACACCGTGATGGAAAAATGGCCAAGTAAATCAAAATTACATTCGTGGCAACAGATAAGTGAGGCAAGGAGTTCCTAAGTGGGGGTGACGATCCCACCCAGTGGACAATTGTACTCCTAATCACAACCAATCAGCCACGAGTAATAGCACTCCCATTGATCCCAATCAACTTGCCAGCACTGGTACAAATTTTGCCTTATGAAGCTTATCAACATGCCATATCCATCCACGTGCATGAGCCCTCCAAATTGACCCAAAACAACTAGGCACGAGCACTTTCCCTACCCCAACCTATTCGCTAACCCTTGACGCCCATCAACTAGCCAAGCAGCCGCTAGTACTAGCTCTCATGACGATCCCATCTGTACGCCTTCTTCGTAACACCTTTGAAGCTACCGACGGCAAGTGGGATCGTGAACCCATCTGTGCAGATCTTAGTGTTATACAACTCGCACGTTGGGTTTTTTCTCCGGGTATTCCGGTTTCCACCAACAATAATCGGCGAAGACTCGTTGTTTTTTTTCTGTGCTCATGTAATCAACGGGAATAAAACCACTGCAGCATTATAGAGAGTAAACGCTAAACAGGGTACATAAACTTAACACTCCACAGCTGCATCTGCGAAAAGATGATCCCCGGTGCTCTCGCCGTCCTGGATAAATGCTCTAACAATGTCAACGATATTAGAATTACCTGCCGGTGTATCCATGGTCAAATTGATAAAAAAACCCAGAAAATATTAACAGCTGGGAATCGATTATTTTTTTATTTACGTACGTGGCGCCTTTCTTGCACAAATCTGCCACTCACAGCGCCATCACATTAACACTCAACAATTAAATTAAACATTCTAAACAATCACAAAAATGCTTATTTAAAATACACTATTATCCGACGCGCGACTCCCCTTAGTGTACCGATTCAGTGACGCTTTCCTGGCTGGATGCCACTACAGACCGAATCCCAATAACTACATTATTATTATTATAACTTTTATATTATTAAAACTATTATAACAGTTATAACCGGCGCACGACCAGGCAAGAGTACACTGCCCCTCCACCGACCCTCGACTAGATCCACAGGCGGGAGGAGCCTCCACCAAGTCCCGTCGGAGCGGCCAGGCGAGACCGAGGCCTCGGATGAGGCCCCGCAACTAGCATCACCGCCGCGGACTTCAAAAAATAAACTCCCCGAGAGTGTCTTTGAGCGGACCGCTCAGCCGCCTCGCTCCCTCACCTGCACTGCAAAGCCTCACGTCGCGGCAGCAACAACAGCGAGCAATCGGCAACAACTCCGAAGAGGTCGCAGAGGCGAGGGGAAGGGTGGTGGAGAGGGGGGTGAGGGAGACCTCAGAGACCGCCTCCACCACTGCAGGAAGTCGGAGCCTCCTGGATATAGGCGGAGCCACGTGACAAGGCGGAGCCTGGTGGAGTATGGGCGGGGCCACGTGACAAGGCGGAGCCTCCTGGGGTATGGGCGGGGCCACGTGACAAGGCGGAGCCTGGTGGAGTATGGGCGGGGCCACGTGACAAGGCGGAGCCTCCTGGGGTATGGGCGGGGCCACGTGACAAGGCGGAGCCTGGTGGAGTATGGGCGGGGCCACGTGACAAGGCGGAGCCTCCTGGGGTATGGGCGGGGCCACGTGACAAGGCGGAGCCTGGTGGAGTATGGGCGGGGCCACGTGACAAGGCGGAGCCTCCTGGGGTATGGGCGGGGCCACGTGACAAGGCGGAGCCTCCTGGAGTATGGGCGGGGCCACGTGACAAGGCGGAGCCTGGTGGAGTATGGGCGGGGCCACGTGACAAGGCGGAGCCTCCTGGGGTATGGGCGGGGCCACGTGACAAGGCGGAGCCTGGTGGAGTATGGGCGGGGCCACGTGACAAGGCGGAGCCTCCTGGGGTATGGGCGGAGCCACGTGACAAGGCGGAGCCTCCTGGGGTATGGGCGGGGCCACGTGACAAGGCGGAGCCTCCTGGGGTATGGGCGGGGCCACGTGACAAGGCGGAGCCTGGTGGAGTATGGGCGGGGCCACGTGACAAGGCGGAGCCTCCTGGGGTATGGGCGGGGCCACGTGACAAGGCGGAGCCTGGTGGAGTATGGGCGGGGCCACGTGACAAGGCGGAGCCTCCTGGGGTATGGGCGGAGCCACGTGACAAGGCGGAGCCTCCTGGGGTATGGGCGGAGCCACGTGACAAGGCGGAGCCTCCTGGAGTATGGGCGGGGCCACGTGACAAGGCGGAGCCTCCTGGGGTATGGGCGGGGCCACGTGACAAGGCGGAGCCTCCTGGAGTATGGGTGGGGCCACGTGACAAGGCGGAGCCTCCTGGGGTATGGGCGGGGCCACGTGACAAGGCGGAGCCTCCTGGAGTATGGGCGGGGCCACGTGACAAGGCGGAGCCTCCTGGGGTATGGGTGGGGCCACGTGACAAGGCGGAGCCTCCTGGGGTATGGGCGGGGCCACGTGACAAGGCGGAGCCTCCTGGGGTATAGGCGGGGCCACGTGACAAGGCGGAGCCTCCTGGGGTATGGGCGGGGCCACGTGACAAGGCGGAGCCTCCTGGGGTATGGGCAGGGCCACGTGACAAGGCGGAGCCTCCTGGGGTATGGGCGGGGCCACGTGACAAGGCGGAGCCTCCTGGGGTATAGGCGGGGCCACGTGACAAGGCGGAGCCTCCTGGGGTATGGGCAGGGCCACGTGACAAGGCGGAGCCTCCTGGGGTATGGGCGGAGCCACGTGACAAGGCGGAGCCTCCTGGGGTATGGGCGGAGCCACGTGACAAGGCGGAGCCTCCTGGGGTATGGGCGGAGCCACGTGACAAGGCGGAGCCTCCTGGGGTATGGGTGGGGCCACGTGACAAGGCGGAGCCTCCTGGGGTATGGGCGGAGCCACGTGACAAGGCGGAGCCTCCTGGAGTATGGGCGGAGCCACGTGACAAGGCGGAGCCTCCTGGGGTATGGGTGGGGCCACGTGACAAGGCGGAGCCTCCTGGGGTATGGGCGGAGCCACGTGACAAGGCGGAGCCTCCTGGGGTATGGGCGGGGCCACGTGACAAGGCGGAGCCTCCTGGGGTATGGGCGCTCTTCTTACCCCCATCTGTCCCTTTCTCGTCTCAATCTCTCTTGCCTCTCACTAACCCTGCATCCCACTGCTCGTCGCTTGCCCCTCGCTTTCCTCTTTCCGTTTTGCTCTCTTTCCTATCCATTTGACGCCCCTTCTTTCTCATGTCCGTTCCTCCGATTCCTCATCCCTCTAATGCCCTCCCTCACCTCCCTCTATCCTATCACTATCCTAGAATAATAATAAAAACATTATCTGAAAGTAGACTTCCTGTGTAAGAATCAAATGTTAGTGTTTCTGTTTCTTGGTGTTCCCTTTCAGTTTCTTGAGTATCTGTTTCTAAAAGTTTTTTTTTCAAGAGGAGTCTAACTGATTCTAATTCTTTGGGGTTGACATGTATGAATACATTACTCTTAAACAAATAAGCTAATAGCTCAGTGGGTTTTACCTAGTAAGTACAACAAAGTTTTATTTGCATATTTGAAGGTGATTTGTTTACCTTTGATATACTTTGCACTACTGTCGTGTTTTTGTATTGTTGTTGTTACGTTTTGACCCCGTGACCCTACTGAAAATCTGTGAAAAAAGAGCTTTATCGCTCATCGGGATTCCTCCAGGAATACATAAATATTCCCATTCTGCCTCTGAGTCGTTCTCTATCTACGAGAGTCAGAGAATAACTTTTGCCGGGCGGCTCGTTACAAATTGACATTTTAATCATCGTTTTCATGCATTTATTATGCCATTTATGGTGACAACACCGCTCCAACCTCGCGCGTTGCAGTTCATGAACGCACCCCGTACTGTGACGAATGTGGGTGGAGTTGTAGTGCGCCGAACGCTCCCTCGTGGCAACACGTGTGTTCCGCATGGCGCTCCGTGAGTTGCATGTGTCCACAGCGGTGCTGAGTGCGGACAGGGGTCGGTGGTTCGTGGTTGTTCTTGCAGTGCATGGGGTGGGCGGTCGGTCAGTGCGGGTTAGTGAGTGCGGGTTCGGATATCATCATACCTGTCAACCCATACGGTCTATCCATAATACAGGGTTGTTTGGGGTTTACCCGTGTTCTTGTACAGGGAAATTGAGTTTTCAGGTTCATACGAAGTCCAACCCGTTTCAATCCGGGCAACAAACGTTTTGTCTATTTGTGTTTCTCCCTTGTGATGGGACTTTGTAGGATGAACGTTGAGATTTATAAGGGCACGGGGTGACCAATAAGGTTTGAATTGGTCTGTAATAAGGTAGGGCACTGATAAGGGACTGGTACGTATCACTCGCCACAAATGCTGGCCCTGGTGCAAACCGAAATCTTGGTGACCGGATTCATTGCGAAGTGCGCTCACCACTGCGCCACCGCTCCATCCACTGCACCAAATTGCTTAATGTGCCTTACCCGTGTGCCACGCGTTAGACACGGCTCACCGATATGTCGGTTACAAGTGGAGCCGGACATTCGGAGTGTTGTAACGTTCACACCCCATGCCTCTCCTGGACATCTGTGAAACAAGAGCTTTACAGCTCATCGGATTCCTCCAGTGTAAAATGTACATTCTGATTCTGTGTATCTCTTTCACATCGCGTATATAACTCAAGGATGACTTCGGTGTCAATCAAAATATCCGGAGCTGCGCGTGAGCGTGACCCGCGACTTCCGCCACCCGCAACAGCGCCCCCACGTGGCCCCCACAATGAATCGTCATTATGATACTCTTAGTTCAGAGGCAACACAAGTCTCCGTCATCAGGTGGGACCGTCACAGCCAGATTTGCTGCATCAAGTGAATATGCACTTGATGCAGCAAATCTGGCTGTGACGGTCCCACCTGATGACGGAGACTTGTGTTGCCTCCGAAACGTCGTGATTTTTATTGTTTTTTAATAATTTCATTTTTTACCTACGTGACTTTACCGAAAGAACTAAGAGTATGAATCCTTGCAGTCACGAAAGCTTAAAATCTAGAATTCGTCATTATGATGTTTACAATCCCAGAAGCCCAGGCAGATTTGTGCTTGCATATTTATTGTACAGGTGAGACCACCTCAATGCATAAAATGGAAGGAACCGGAAATACAGGGAGACCTAACAAAGAGCGGCTTTGACATTCGAGATTATTGCCAGAAAGATGCGCACTACTTTGACCATATTGGCACAAGACAGAGGAAAGTGGAAACAAATGACGAAATGTGCAGTGGACACCTACGGGGCTATGTGCCCATGGAGCTTGGTGATGTTGACAATTGGGCTTCTTTATCACGGTTGTTCACAGTAAACGTAACTAGATTTGTCGTGAGAACACTTTCTTTTTTTATTGCTAAGAAAACTGAAAAAGTTGCTGAACTAGCAACACAATTGCTTCGTTGGCAGCACTGCCTGGAATGTTGTGGAATTCCATACGCCCAAGTATGCTTGAGCCTGCATATTGATTGGACAGGTGACCCACGCAATGCCTACATAGGTGGTCTAGGCTTGCGGGTCTATTTGGTGAACAGCAGAGGGGAGTGCAGAAAAAATACACTTGTACTATAGTCAGGGGCGGTTTCTTCATTAGGGCGATTGGGCGACGCACCACCAATGTCATTGAACCACAGAGTCACACTAGCCGTCACTGTCAGCCTCTGGATATAGTCCAATCAGCGTCATGTCACGTTCTGTGGAGTTCCGCCTCTTTTTGGGCGATTTCACTCCGGCTGAGAATCGCCCCGAGTGGCCCTATAGACTTACATTGAAAGATGTTTTTTTTCGAACGGCGGGCGCTCCAATGTATTCTCTATGGCTTCCGGGAGGGCTTGCACTAACGTGCTTACGTCATCATACGTGCTAACGTCATCATACGTAAGCACGTTTCATCCAACAATATAATTTATCACCACCTAGTGGAATCTTTAATAAAATAAACTTGAGTGGTTTGTATTAATAGTGAGTATAGAAACAAACAAGATGTATTGTAAGAGTCACTTTATTTTTCATTAATATTAAAGAAGTGAAGTTGCCTTTACATGCTTAAGCTGTTAATTTATCCATTGCATGGGTGGACCTTATACTTATCAATCATCCAGACATTTGCCCCCCCTGAGATATTTTGCAGGAACCGCCACTGACTATAGTACAATGTGAGGTCTATGCTCCCCGCGTTCTCCAGCCCACATCGACAAGCAGTGGTCAAATAGCCCCCACGTTCACAGAGCAGTGCGCAAACCACCGCACCACTGCTCCCCCCACATAGTTCCGTTTACATGTCTATTGTCAATCTACTACTGGAGGGGATTTGACCAGACTTCACGATTAGCACGGTTGGCTACGTACGGTGAGAAAGAAGTTCAACATACAAACTATTATACACACCACTACTATCCAGTACACTATACACGACACTGCTACATACTACATTGCGATATACTACACTATTATACACACCACTACTATCCAGTACAATATGCACGACACTGCTACATACTACACTATGATATACTATCTTCTTGGTTCTTTCGGTAAAGTCACGTAGAATGGAAGTAATAAAATAATAAAAATAAAACACAATAAAATAATTCTCACGACGTTTCGGCCACAACGCAAGCAGCCGTCCTCAGGTGAAAACCAGGTCCGTCGAGGCGACAGAGTACTACTCTATTATACACTACACTACTATACACTGTACTCCATTGGGAACTAATTTCTTTCGAATAGATTTTTGTGTTTAGTTTGTTGTCCTTCCTCCGTAGTTCCGATTTGCGCGGTTCGCTATGTATGGTGTGAATTAAGTTTTACACACAAACTACAATACACTACCACGGTGGTTATACTGGTCGGAACCACCTAGTTCCACCAGCCCACAGGGCATTATTGTGTCCGTCCGTCGTGCATCCAAAAATGGGAGGGGTGGGGCTGGGTCGAGAAGGGAGGGTGGGGAGGGGCTGGGTGGTGAGGGTGGGAAGGGGCTGGGTGGGGAGGCTGGGTGGGGGGTGGGGCTGGGTGGGGAGGGGCTGGTCACCCCGTGGTGCCCTTATAAAACTCAACGTTTAACCTACTCACGCCGGCTTGTGCCCGTCCTCACAGTCGGCCATATTTGCTGAATACACCACGCCGCCGTTAACCCTGGCCATTGACCGAGCAACCCAACGTTCCTACCAGCTCCATCCGCAGGAATGTGTTTCCTGTAATGGACTGTTACTTAAGTACAGCACAGTTACGGATTGTGCTGCGCTGCCATCTGCTGCCCACTTAAAATGACCACGTCAATGACCTGGACTGCATGTGCGTGTAACCCACGTGCGTGTGTTGGCACCCTTGCTAGGTGGAGCCATCCGCCTATGGGTGAGGCAGGCTGCCCCTCGTGCCCCGGGGCCGCCCTGTCCGAGCGGCCACCCCCGTGGGGCCTGCACGGCCTCCTGCCTGGTCTACGCCGCTCACGGGGAGCCACAGCACGTGCTCCGGTATGGCCCTTCAGATTGACTCTCTCGGTCCGTCTCGTTGTGTCTCATCGCCGCTTGAGAGGACAGCCACCGTTAGATTGAGCTGTGACATTGGCTTGTGTGTAGGAGCTGGATGGATTGTTCCATCGCGAGACCGTGAGCAATTCCAATGGCTTTGGGGGGACCTTAATTCGGTAGTCTATAGATCTTGGCTATTTGTTTGATCCAGCGGGTAGATAACTAAACGATAAGGTTTTTATTTGATCAGGTAAGGCCCACTGAGCTATATAGCTCTTTTTCAGAAGTGACCTAGCCACAAATGATAGCCCAATGAAGTGGCTTATCATGTGGAAATGTATAGGAGCCGAATACTCTAAGCAAATATTTATAAAATATGGAGGGAAAAACCGAAGGAAACCGGAAAAAAATCCATATGACCACATTGAGAGAGAACACGCAAACTCCAAATATACAGGTGTCAGGATCGAGATCGAACCCACAACCTCGTGCATACCAGGCGAGGGAGTTAACATCTCGCCACCGCGGGCAGCTAAAACTCCAGATTCATACCCAGGGTCTCAGCAGTGCTGGCATGGTGCTCCGACAATCCCCTTATGAGCCGCCCGTGCATCACCTGGCCACCCTACATGTCCTGTCCTCACATTGCCCACTCTGTTCGCTTGTGCCAGGTTAGAGGAGCGGACACTGCCCCCGGTCGGCGAGGGAGAGGTACGGGTTCGGATGCTCGCGGCTCCCATCAACCCGGGCGACATCAACATGGTGCAGGGTGAGCAGCGGCAGCGGCTGCTGCTGCTAGAGCAGTCGACAAAGCCCCGCGTCACACAAAACGTGACTTCCAGGAGCAAAGGGCAGACTTGTCGTGGGTTTGATCCTGACCCTGACGATGCATGTGTATTAGGAGTTTGCAAGTTCTCCCCGTGGTCGTGTGGATTCTTTTTTGGGTCCTCCGGGTTTTCCCTCCACATTTGAGCAACACGATTAAAATTTTTACACGCAAAGAGTCGAGCACTCTGCAAAGGCATCAATCAGCTGGATGTTTGGTGCGCCATTTATCTGTATATGAATTTTTTTACACTTTGCTTAGCAGTGGCACAGTGGTTAGCGCACTACACCATAATCTCAGTGACTTGCATTTGATTCCTGGCCATGACCAGTGTGGTGAAGTATGGTCAAACAACCTGACGACTAACATGGTGTTAGCAGGCCTTCGTCCATCAATGAATTGACACACAATTGGAAATTAACTTGATAATCAGATGAGTAATCTTTCACTGTGGTTCATGTCACTCTAGCCATAAGTTTTACTGTGTGTTTCAGTAGGTTTAAGAAAGGCTTGTTGTGGTTGCGTTTGTATCGGACAGGTAAATACGTGGTACAGCCGCCCCTACCTGCAGTGGGGGGGAATGAGGGTGTGGGGCAGGTGGAGGAAGTTGGGTCAAAGGTCACGACCCTAAAACTGGGCGACTGGGTCCTGCCATCTGACTCTGGCTTCGGTGAGTACGAGTCGACTGGGCGTCATTTCACCGCACGATTTACGGCACCAATGAAATAACACACACGGCCATGCTCATGATAAATACAACGAGGGAAAACTTAACTGGTTTGTTAGTGGTATGCGTGATGAAATTCAACAGGGAACATTCACTCCATTCGTTGTTTAAGCTCAGTTTTTAGTGCCGCCTGTTACCAAATAACCCAGATTGTGCCCGATGTCGGATCCCTGAAGCTAAGCAGGTTGAGCCTGGATAGTAGTACTTAACTGCATGACCACCCATGCATGACAGCTTGTTATAGGCTGATGTGCGCTACATAGTGGGCAGAAGAGAGTAGTGCAGCAAAATCTATCGTGCTGTATTTCTATGCAAACATATTTATGTATTCCTCACATCGCAACCAACATGTTGTGGGGAAACCCTCATCCAGCAGTGGCTCGACAAAGAGCTGTACATTTCTGGGAAATACATGTCCCTCATGGTTAATTAATTCGTTTTCAGGTAATATTTAGAGTAGATCCATCTGCAAAATCCTGTTGTCTGCTGGTGCCAGTAGGTCCACAATTTGTCCTGTTATAACCAAACAAATATATCTATCAGTGGAAGGGTGGGTGGCAAGTATTTTCCCCTACTGTGTGGATCAGAGGTCATTTTATGGGATCTCAGGTAGTTCTGTGGTATCCACTTCCACAGGCCGTTCTCTAACACAAATGGACGCAGTGCTCTGCGAGAGTTACGAATGGATTATTTTTGTCTCATGGCACGACAACAATACCACAATCGGGATAACATTTGGGGGGCAAGGTGGCGAGATGTTCACTCCCTCGCCTGGTAGTTAAATCGTGGGTTCGATCCCGACCCCGACGCTTGTATATTTGGAGTTTGCATGTTCTCCCTGTGTTCGTGTGGATTTTGCGCACATCCAATTAGTACGGCCCGCTACGTACGGTGTGAAAGAAGTTCAACATACATACAAATGGCAAAAACCCAATGCTGAAGTGCCGCTATCATGGTCGTCAGAACGTCGAGGGTTTATTTGATCGACAAGTTGGTGCCACTGGCTTTTCCGTCCTGTCCGTGCGTCCGTGGCGGTGACGCTCGTCAAAGGCACGTGGAGGACGAGGGCCGTGTGCCCGGAGGCCGCCCTCCTGCGCGTGCCGTCCGAGCTGCCCCTGCTGAGCGCCGCCACCATCGGCATGAACCCGGCGAGCGCCTACCGCATGCTCCACGACTTTACGATGCTGAGCCCAGGCAAGACCGGCGCTGCCATTTCTGCCACACTTTGGCCACTCACGACACGCGCCCACTCGTGATTGCAAGGATTGAACCCCCACCTCTCCCCGCCCCTTCCACGATTCGACGCATCATCACGATTCAAGGGCTTTTATTTGTGGACCGTATTCGTGTTTGGCACTGCAGTGCATTTAGTTTGTAGTTAGTTTAACACGTATGCTTTCGTGACCAATATTATCCATAAAGGTTTTTTGGGGTGGATCGCCTAAATATGAATGTGCCATTTAACCCGCCACCACCCGACACAGCCAATTAGTAAGGTTTGCCACGTAAACAAAACGTGCCAATTAGTTACCAGTTCAGCACACCGGTGTGTTGGAGAGTAAACCCACAACATTTACAATTTGAGTACGACGTTTCGCCAGCAATTACAACCAGCATCATCAGGGAGACAGACGGAGTTGTGAAGAAATCCTCCTGCTTGGTTTTGACTGCTGGCACTCCACGCAGGTGACACGGTCATTCAGAACGGAGCGAACAGCGCAGTGGGCCAGGCCGTCATCCAGATCGCGGCGTCCCTGGGGCTCGTGAGCATCAACATCATCCGAGACAGGTGCCCGCGCACGCCCGTGTCCTCCGCACACAATGCAACGTTGGCACTGTCCGCCCACCATTACAGCAGTGTTTTAGGCCCGTCTTAATCATCGACCGAAATCTATTCGTACTTGGCATGAAACGGTCCGTGGTTAAAAATAACAATATATACGCACACAATACATTTTCACCTTAAGATGTTAGACTCTCATGACCAATATTATTCGTATTAAAGTTTTTATTTATTTTATTGTTGTTATCATGAAAACATATATCACATATCCTTCTCTCCACGTAAAATATTTGTATTATTTCTTACGCATCCCATCAGTCACATGGTCTTCTGGGAGTGTATAATTTTAGCAGAATTGCTTCACAACCAAGGAAACTAGACTGGTTTTGACATTCGGTGTATGCGTGTATGTACAAAGGAGTGGCTCAAGAAGAAGCACATTAAGGTCCTGGAGTGGCCTAGCCAGTCTCCAGACCTTAATGCCATAGAAAATCTGTGGAGGGAGCTGAAGGTTCGAGTTGCCAAACGTCAGCCTCGAAACCTTAATGAGTTGGAGAAGATCTGCAAAGAGGAGTGGGACAAAATCCCTCCTGAGATGTGTGCAAACCTGGTGGCCAACTACAAGAAACGTCTGACCTTTGTGATTGCCAACAAGGGTTTTGCCACCAAGTACTAAGTCATGTTTTGCAGAGGGGTCAAATACTTATTTCCCTCATTACAATGCAAATCAATTTATAACATTTTTGACATGCGTTTTTCTGGATTTTGTTGTTGTTATTCTGTCTCTCACTGTTCAAATAAACCTACCATTAAAATTATAGACTGATAATTTCTTTGTCAGTGCACAAACGTACAAAATCAGCAGGGGATCAAATACTTTTTTCCCTCACTGTATGTTGACCTCTTTCGCTCCGTATGTAGCCAACTGTGCTAATCGAAGGTGCGGGATGATGGATTGAGTCAACTTATAACCAAGATTTGAACTCATGTCACCCAGGGCTGGGGAACCTGTGGCCTGCTGGTTTGATACAGCCCGTGACTTCATGTCATACAGCTCGTGGCCACATTAGGCCTGCCACTTCTAAATGGCCCGGGAACAATATATTTATCCATCGCCGTGAGCAATCGAACTCCACTGTTGCTGCTTTGTAATTCCGACCCGGCATCACTGTGCTAGTGAGAGGAGAGCAGGCGCAGATTTCGCACAAGCGTCGTAAGGGTGAGCCATAGCTATCTTTCTTATTATCGTTGGACACCGCTGAGGCATGTGTTAACGTGTCCCCCCCTACCGAAGTTATTTGAAAGTCCAATTTTGACCGAAATCTGTGTGCTGCGTTTGTTGTTTCAGGCCGGAGCTGTCCAAGCTGGTGGCAAAGCTGAAGGCCATGGGCGGAGACTTTGTGTTCAGTGAGGTGGAGCTTCGAAGGCCAGACGTCAGGGAGGTGCTGAAGGTGCTGTTGTTTGGTTCAAAACGTTTGCCAATAACACCGTGGCCTTCAAATGGAAAAAATCTATAATAGTCAATGTTTCGGGCAACGACCCTTATTCATAGCACAACATTATAGAGTCCAGAGAGATATAATGGTGAAGGTTTGAAGACTATGCTTTACACCATGGGGCCTGATGAGATGTGAGACAAAAAAGTGTTCTCCAATGCTGATTCACTTTCTCCGGCCTCTCTGTGTGCCTTTAAGAAGGGCCATTGCCCGAAAGGGTGACTATTCTATATTTTAACTTTTAAGACAACAGTTTTATTGATAAATGTGATTAGAATTTTTTTTTATAATTATTTGTGGTCGTGGATAAAGGCCAATACAGAATCACCGAATATGTTTTTGGAATGTGTAATTTGGTATCCTTTATTTAACCTGGAGATTAAATGAACCCATGGCGACACATGAAGCAGCATCGCCTCTCTCGCAAGGGCGGCCTGGTTCACATCAGGAACAGCTGAGGAGCACACTTAATTTAAAGCATTTAAATGTATCGAACGTAGACTAAATTTGACGATAAATCAAGATATTACAACATGCATGAGGCAAAGATAAAAGGTAACCTTGCACTTAAAATAAAAATAGTATTAATTTTATTTATAAAACTTTATGAGAGGAAGTGACTACATTAGACAAGTCGAGGTAACGGAGAAATGTACGTAGAATATGATCAAGTGTTAACAAACTGGCTGAGGCAGTCATGAAACATTCAAACAGTCACTCAAAACATTTACAAACGTTTACATTAAGCGCCTTCACCAGTTTTTCTTCGAACTCGGCTATGGTCTAGGATAAAATTTAGACGCAGCTGGCGGGGCCAAGTGCTTTTGTTAATGCAGTTTGCACAGATGAATAGTGTGCTTTCCCACCATCCCAGCAAAAGAAATAACAACAGTCCTTCACCTGTGGAAGCTGAGAAAACCAATGCACACAAGGGAATCATACTCATAGGTGTGTGCAGATGGGTTAATGAATCTACTTGCTGTACTTTCATCGCCTGGCCACCTTACGACCCAGCCAGTTGGGGAGTTTCATAAATCTGCACTGTCCACCAGTCCACAGCTCTGGGTCACACGCATGGGCCTTCCTGCATAAACTAAACTTAACAAATTTTTTTTATTTTACCAGGTAATGCCCACTGAGCTATACAGCTCTTTTTCACCTGGCCACAAATGATAGCTCAACAAAGCGGCTTATCACGTGGACATTTATATCAAATACTTTAAATGCAATTTGATTGTAAATGTGGAGGGAAAAACCGGAGGACCCAGAGAAAATTCTACACGACCACGGGGAGAACATGCAAACTCCAAATATACAGGGATCAGGGTCGGGGTAGAACTCACAACCTCCTGAATACCAGGCGAGGTAGTTAACATCTCGCCACTGTGGTGCATAGCAAGTAGATGTGTTTAATTATTGTTTGTATTATTACTGATGGACCAGCGTTTAATGCTCTTCCATATTTGCATTCAGAAGATGGTGGTGGGCCTTCTTTTTAGGTTGCTACATCCATCTTTGTCAATCTGCTGCTGGATGAGGGCCTCCCCACGCATGCATAAACACAGGTGTTATGCGTGTAGACTGACACGGCAACTCGGGCAGCAGAGGCAGGAGTGCAGACAAATCCCTTGTACTGCACTATGCTCCCACTCGTGTGCCCTGCTCGTAAACATACGCAATTGTGTTAATCGTCGGTTGTATTCACTTTACAAAAGACACTCACGCTGATTTTTGTTTCCGAGCAGAAGCTCTGCAAGCCACGACTGGCGTTGAACTGCGTGGGAGGAAAGAGTGCCACGGAACTCCTTCGCAACCTCGAGTGAGTGCAGATGGCTCAGAGCGAGTTAACTTTTTTTTTTACAATAGCTGTGAACGTTTTTACATTCAGACCTTTCTTTGCGTCCAATGACAGCGTTCGCATCAGTTCTGTCATTCCAATCAGCTTATACGTTCGTGAATGCTAAGCCAGCAGGTAATGTTCAGAGTTAGAATTACTCTTCTGAAAAGATGTTGAACGATTGTTCTCAATATAATAGGAATCGTCGTCAATGTTGATGCGTAGCAAAGTTCACTCACTCGAACTTTACTGATTGCTACATGAAGCGGCTGCCAGTCAGGGTTGGAGTGGCACAGAGGGGGCGACTTTGGCAAATTTCAATCAGCCGTCAGAGATTAAATGTCGCTCGTGGAATGCGGTGAGAGATTAATAGCAGAAAAGAGGGCATTTCCATGGCTGTATAATCATAACAAGTTGAGGACACAAGGAAATAAAATAATTCCTTGGACGTTGTCAATGTCAAACTTTTGAGTTCATTGGAAGCTTGTAGGGGAATAGAAGGTGTTTGAGGCCTGGGCCTAGTCAATTTATAGGCAATGTTCATATTTTTAATGAGTCAAACTGTTCAAACATTTGTGTGACCTATTATTATATTATAATTAATCGTGATAATTTGATGTATTTCTCAGAAATAAATGTGTGTGTGTGTTGTTGCAGCTTCATAACATTTACGTAAAATATGTTTATAATCTCTGTGGGGGACCTTGAAATGAAAGTGACGTCATGTGTGTTCTCAGTTTGGGCCGAGCGTAGGCCTAAACTAGACCCAGGCTAGAGAGGATATAGACACCACGTGGTCTACCACGGGATCCAAACATGTTTCGAAGCCCTACTGCAGTGGTGCGAACTTGTGTTACGTAACGAAAGGCACGTGCTGTTCACTAACCGTGCGTAAACCCAGCCTAAGTCTGATCGGTAGACATATTCGACCCCCCAACTGTGCTTTTAACCCACAGGCGGCACGGAACTATGGTGACCTACGGCGGAATGTCGATGCAGCCCGTCATCATCCCCACGGCAAGAGCACCACCCTCGCGTATCACCAGCAGCATTCTTGCATGCAGCTTGGCCAAGTCCTAGTAGACTAACTCAGTGGCAGTTGACGGACACAATCAATGGGGAGTACCTACCACCTAACATGAGGGTGGCACCCATATGCACCCTCTATGTAAGATTACAAGAGATGTGCACCTCTGAATAGCATGGCTGGCTACTTAGTGCGAAAGAAGATCAACATACATACGTGAGAGCACACCTTGTAGATCAGGTGTTGACTGTATAAAAGCTGAGGGATCTAGCATTAGGAAGGTAGTTATGGCGAGGTGTGGTGGCATCAGCGGCACTGGCTATGATGATGACCTCTTGATTTTATCGCTAGAACTACTCGTCAATTTTGACGTGATCGCTGAATAATTTTATCGAGGAATCGAATGACAATCTCGGTGAAGCGAGTGGCAAAAAGTATCTCCTTATGATGACGTGTCATTCCTCCGATTATGCGTGTAAGAATACATCATGGAAGCGAATGGCAAGGTGTAGTGGCATCGGCTACACACTGGCAATGATGACTTGTTGAACTTTAGAAACACGCGTTTTAGACTATTTGGCTGCTATAAACGTCCACATGATAAGCCACTTCGTTGAGCTATCATTTGTGACCAGATCGCTTCCGAATAAGAGCTATATAGCTCAGTGGTAAAATAAAAATAGTTTAAATAGTAGTTAACTTGAATGCCTCCCCAGCCATCCCAAGTAGCTGTCTCTCAATGGGGGGGCACATTGGGAGATCATTAGCGTTCATAATAGCTTGGCGGTGATGGCTATGCATGCCTGTAATCCAACACTAGTAGGTGAGGATTGGCTGAACGCAAACATGATGTTTGCGTTCAGGAGAAGGCATTACAGCACGTCCATCAGTTTCCAGCTGTATGGAGATACGGGTGTCGCCCCCTCGTCCACGTGTTTTTTTCTCTGGGTGCTCCAGTTTCCTCCCACTTGTATAAACACTTATCAATTCACTGAAAAATCTTTAAAATAAAGGCGAATGCAGGACCCTCCTGAAAAAGTCCAAACCAACATCACTTTCCTGTAAAATAATGATTATTACGAGGGCATCAACCCCCTAGACTCCCGATAAGATTGCCACTGCTGACGTGATTAAATTTCTGTCTCATTTCCTTGCACCATCAATATGCAATGATGGTCCTGGCGGTGTTGGTTGCGTGCGCGCACTTCGTCTATCCTCGTCAATCTCCCAGTGGTGCCTGCGATGATTGAGAGCTGGGGCCCCAGGCCGCAAGTAGCGTGCAGGAGAAGAGTACAGCGCCGTGGGCTAGGTGGCCGGGCCTATCGCGAAAGCAGCAGTAATGCCACAGTAACCCTGTGTCGCTGTTCTGCTCGACCTAACACTAAACCGTGTTAAATTTCGATTTAAAGCTTTCGTGACTGCAGGGATTCATCTTCTTGGTTCTTTCGGTAAAGTCCACGTAGAATGGAAATAAAAAAAATGTTTTATTTTTATTATTTTATTATTTCCATTCTACGTGACTTTACCGAAAGAACCAAAAAGATAAACCGTGTTAGTTTAACACATTCCTTCGGAGGGAGCTGGTAGGAACGTTGGGTTGCTCGGTCAATGGCCAGGGTCAACGGCGGCGTGGTGTAATCCGCAAATATGCCTGACTGTGAGGGCGGGCACAAGCCGGCATGAGTAGGTTAAACGTTGAGTTTTATAAGGGCACCACGGGGTGACCAGCCCCTCCCCACCTAGCCCCACCCTCCCCACCCAGCCCCACCCTCCCCACCCAGCCTCTCCCCACCCTCCCTTCCCCACCCAGCCCCACCCTCCCCACCCAGCCCCTCCCTCCCCACCCAGCCCCTCCCTGCACGATGGACGGACGGACACACTAATCCCCTGTGGGCTGGTGTAACCAGGAGGTTCCTACCAGTATAAAGTACAGGTATCCCCTCGATTTACGAACGTTCGGTTTACGAAATTTTGCGTTAACTCAATTGACAAATTACAAACACTTGTTGATTAACGAAATCGAATATCCGCGGGAACGAAATTTCACACGGCATGCACTATGACATCATCTAAACAAGAAGCACCCTGGGGTCACGGTATCCCCTCAGTGTAACAGTAACACCTCCACACCACCTTTCCAGCCATTCCAGCATTCAGATCTTTTGGCGAGTTGCCTGAAAAGTTTAATTATTTTTAGTTTTAAATTCATTATTGTTCCACCGTTTGAATATTTATGTTCTTTATTATTCTTTTTGGTTCGTGAAAAGTGACATAGGTGTATGTTTTTAGGTTGGGAGTCGAGTAGGAATGACTGTCCAAAACACATCCCTAATTTTTTTTATTAAATGAATGGGAAAAGCTATTGTGATTGACGAATATTCTTTTACGTGCGTTTTTTTAAGAACGCATCCCTTTCGTAAATCGAGGGATACCTGTACATAGCAAGTTGCATGAACTACATTCCTATACATCACAGGCTAACCAACTGTATATTCAACTTCGTATTACAACAAAACATGTTTCTGACCATACCACCCCACCACTGATAACTAGAATCGTGCCTTCCTACTGTACACCCTCACTCTAGACCACATGGGGTGTAGAGAATATTACACCACCACACCGCTACACTAAACCGCACCACTTCTACATATTACCTCCGATTTTGTATTACATATTACTCCGCACCTCCGATTAGAATGGTTGGCTACGTACGGTGCAAATGAAGTTCAATATACATACGTAGCCTTTTGGGAATTTTCACAAATAAGAGGAGCTGACTGGCAAATACATCTTAGCTCTTCACATTATCAAGGATATGAGGGATTGAATTTGCAAATAGGATGACAACTCCTGTTGAGTAACTCTGAAGGGGCTTCCTCTGACCTCGCTGCAGACGGAAGAAGTTCCTCTGCATCTCCCGTTTTCTTTTGTTGTTTTGGTCTACAGAGCGCGCTCATCTTCAATGACATCAAGATTGTGGGGTTCTCGGTGACTCGATGGAAGAGGCATCATTCTCATGGTGAGGCGAATGAGAGGAAGGTGATCCGAGCGTGGCGTCGCGTTATTACCGTACGCGTGCCAAAAGTGGACACACAAGCCACTTGAATCCTTGGGTGGCGGTGAGGCTGGGACATGTTGTCACAGTTCTATCTCGCTTGGTAGTCACCATTGACCATGAATATTGTGTGTTTGTGTGTGAGATTCCCAACCACAAGAACAGGCAGTGGTACTTTGCACATTCATCATTGGGAGTCTTGGGTGCTATGTCTGCTGTGGACAGTATGGTCCCACACACTGTTGTAAAATACAACAACCCGAGTTCAATTTCTTGGTTCTTTCGGTAAAGTCACGTAGAAGGGAAGTAATAAAATAATAAAAATAAATCATAATAAAATAATTCTCACGACGTTTCGGCCACAACGCAAGCAGCCGTCCTCAGGTGAAGACCAGGTCTGTCGGGGAGACAGCGTCTGAATGAAACACCACCACGCTTGGAGCGTATATTTAAGCTGGGTTGGAAGGGGGGAAAACCCGAGTTCAATTTCTTGCCACGGCTAATATCAGTGGCAAGTGATGTCTGAACCAGTCATGGGCATGCTCTTTTATCAACCTGCACTGACCAGCGTGGTGAAGTAGGGTGAAACAACCCCCATAACCAGCACTACGTAGGAAGGCCTTTACCCAGGAGGGGCAGTAACCTATTGTTGGTCTTTATCTCCTCTATGGATGGAGATTCTCCTGCCACTTAATTTTCTCATACTTAAACAATTTCTTTAAACTTGCAAAACCACAAAAAGCTCGTCGTAAAATCGAGTCAAATAGAAGATTATAAAAGTCACTATAGACTATTGATCAAATTTAGTTAATGTTTTATATCAGTATCGAGTTACGTTTGTGTCCAGAAACGCAGAGCAACATTGAATACGTTTAGACCACAAGCCATCGTGAGAACTCATACTGTGCTTTGCATGCACTGGGCCAGTGTTGTTTTTTACTGACACTGCTGAGTCGGTGGTAGAAATTCCATGATCCCCATGGTGGGGAACCATTCCATTCATAGAGACGACCATTGCTAACGTCTCATAAAGTGGTTTCTCGATAGACCCTGGATGATTGATTGCTGGAGTCAACCCCCAAGCTCTTCCAGTTGTGAATCGAGCATGCTAACCAAATTAGCACGGTTGGCTATGTACAGTGTGAAAGTGGTTCAATATACGTACAATAAAAATCTGAGCATAGCAATGATAGATTGTGTTTTAAAGAGACAGCGCAGTGTGTGCGAGAAATACCGGGATACATTCAGGGGTGCTGTGCTCTGATATATTTGTTTTATTCGTAAATCCTGTTATTTCCATGAAGACCATTAGAGCACCCACCACCAAAAAAACAAATATCTGCCAACGCTGTTTTGACCACACGCTGCGATTGAATGGTATGTGCAATATTAAGAGTCGGGTGGTGATGATGCTTATGCGTGTGGTCAGATGGCTCGGCGTACAAGCGAATGCTGACCGAGCTGTGCAGCCTGGCTCGCTCGGGGAAGCTGACCGCCCCGGCGTGTGCTGAGGTTCCGTTCCGGGATTTCCGAGCGGCGCTGGAAGCGGCGGCAAAACCATTCGCTTCGGAAAAGCAGGTCCTCGTGATGTGACGTCCCACTGGTGCTGACTTGCTCGACGGCGGTTATCTCGTTGATTCGTGGGCGCTCGTCAAACGCGGGCAGTCTTGTGGTGTGACACCGGAAGTTATAGGAGGTAATTAAAATATATAAATCCACATTTTATTGTATTCATCCACCAGCCTTGCCTCCATGGTGCTGGTTTACTACCATGCACCACCAGGCCTGGTACTTGGTGCAGGCACCAGTGCCATTTAATTTTAATTTTACCAGGTAAGGCCCACTGAGACATATCGCTATTTTTCAAAAGCGACCCGGCCACAAATTGATATCTCAACGAAATGGCAAAAGTCTGTGGCTTGTCGTGCTCCTAGAAGAGCAATGCATAACTTAAAGGGTATTTCCAGTGCCGTCAGGCCAGATGCGTTCCGTTCCTTGGCTGCCACTCCGTAATGTTTGTTGACCAATGGCCTTCCCTTTTAGCAACGTGTCCTGTCCAAACACACTTTTAAACAGTTTCAATTGTGTCAGTAACCGATGCCCTCCAATCCTTCTAAACATGCATCAATTTATGCTTCTTTGCACGCTATTATACATTGGCAGCATTTTGGATGTTATTGTTAGTTTCATGTTCATATGAATTGGCTCCTATGTTTGTTTTGTACTTGTGATGAACTTTGTGTATGATGAAAACTAATAAAGCGTTGAATTCGTCATGGTGTTCAGCTTTTAAAAAAATATTCCAACCTCCACTTTGTACCACTTCATTTTCGGTTCACCTTCAATTGTCGTCTCCCTATGACCAAATCACCCGGGATGCAACCAGTCTCATCAGATTTTGAGCATGGATAGTGCCTGGTTGGTGACCACCATATGTAATCGATGTTATAGGCAGAAGGAATACGTAGCAGGCAGCAGGGAACGGTGCAGAAAAATGTGATTTGGAGCTTTCGTGACTGCAGGAATTACTCTTTGATTATTTTGGTAAAGTCACGTAGAAAGAAAATTAAATTAAATAATAGCATACGACGTTTCGATTGCAACACAAGCAATCATCATCAGGTACGAATGAAAGAGAAAACAAACCAAGTAAACGTAGAAATATAATGCAATACAATACAGAGAGGCGCTAACATAACAGTCAACACCCTACCTGGTTGATTACGTTCTTCCAAAGATTGCTAAATTTGAGAGAGAGACAAAACACAGACACGGAGACACATAGACAGACACATAAGCAGAGAGATATAACACAGAGACAGAAATCCAGCTTACCCCGCAATTCCTACTAACCCCCGAATTCCGGCTTACCTGCCAATTCCGGCTTACCCCCGATATCCGGCTCACTCTCAAATTATGGCACACCCAGAATTCTGGCTTACGTCCGAATTCCGTCTTACCTATGAATTCCGACTCACCCCCTTGAATTCCGGCCCCACCCCCCCCCCCCCCCCCCCCCCAATTTCAACTCACCCCCTTGAATTTCAACTCACCGCCTTGAATTCCGGCTCACTCCCTCAATTTCAATTCACCCCCTTGAATTTCAACTCACCCCCCCCCAAATTTCAACTCACCACCTTGAATTTCAACTCCCCCCCCACCCCAATTTCAACTCACCACCTTGAATTTCAACTCACCCCCCCCCAATTTCAATTCACCCCCTTGAATTTCAACTCACCCCCTTGAATTTCAACTCCCCCCCCCCCCAATTTCAACTCACCACCTTGAATTTCAACTCACCCCCCCAATTTCAATTCACCCCCTTGAATTTCAACTCACCCCCTTGAATTTCAACTCACCCCCCCCCAATTTCAACTCACCACCTTGGATTTCAACTCCCCCCCCCAATTTCAACTCACCACCTTGAATTTCAACTCACCCCCCCCCCCAATTTCAACTCACCACCTTGGATTTCAACTCCCCCCCCCAATTTCACCTCACCACCTTGAATTTCAACCCCCCCCCCCAATTTCAACTCACCACCTTGAATTTCAACTCACCCCCCCAATTTCAATTCACCCCCTTGAATTTCAACTCACCCTCTTGAATTTCAACTCACCCCCCCAATTTCAACTCACCACCTTGGATTTCAACTCCCCCCCCCAATTTCAACTCACCACCTTGAATTTCAACTCACCCCCCCCCCAATTTCAACTCACCACCTTGGATTTCAACTCCCCCCCCCAATTTCAACTCACCACCTTGAATTTCAACCCCCCCCCCCAATTTCAACTCACCACCTTGAATTTCAACTCACCCCCCCAATTTCAATTCACCCCCTTGAATTTCAACTCACCCTCTTGAATTTCAACTCCCCCCCCCAATTTCAACTCACCACCTTGGATTTCAACACCCCCCCCCCCCCCAATTTCAACTCACCACCTTGAATTTCAACTCCCCCCCCCAATTTCAACTCACCCCCTTGAATTTCAACTCCCCCCCCCAATTTCAACTCACCACCTTGAATTTCAACTCCCCCCCCCCCAATTTCAACTCACCACCTTGAATTTCAACTTCCCCCTCCCCCCAATTTCAACTCACCACCTTGAATTTCAACTCCCCCCCCCCCCAATTTCAACTCACCACCTTGAATTTCAACTCACCCCCCCCCCCCCTTCAATTTAAACTCACCACCTTGAATTTCAACTCACCCTCCCCCCAATTTCAACTCACCACCTTGAATTTCAACTCACCCCCCCCCCAATTTCAACTCACCACCTTGAATTTCAACTCACCCCCCCCCCCTTCAATTTCAACCCACCACCTTGAATTTCAACTCCCCCCCCCCCCCCAATTTCAACTCACCCCCCCAAATTTCAATTCACCCCCTTGAATTTCAACTCACCCCCTTGAATTTCAACTCACCCCCCCCCCCCAATTTCAACTCACCCCCTTGAATTTCAACTCACCCCCTTGAATTTCAACTCCCCCCCCCCCCCAATTTCAACTCACCCCTTGAATTTCAACTCACCCCCTTGAATTTCAACTCACCCCCTTGAATTTCAACTCACCCCCCCAATTTCAACTCACCCCCCCCCCCCCCAATTTCAACTCACCCCTTGAATTTCAACTCACCCCCTTGAATTTCAACTCACCCCCTTGAATTTCAACTCACCCCCCCCCCCCAATTTCAACTCACCCCCCCCCCCCCAATTTCAACTCACCCCTTGAATTTCAACTCACCCCCTTGAATTTCAACTCCCCCCCTTGAATTTCAACTCCCCCCCCCCCCCCCAATTTCAACTCACCCCCCCCCCCAATTTCAACTCACCACCTTGAATTTCAACTCACCCCCTTCAATTACAACTCACCCCCCCCCCCCCAATTTCAACTCACCCCCTTGAATTTCAACTCACCCCCTTGAATTTCAACTCACCCCCCCCCAATTTCAACTCACCCATTGAATTTCAACTCACCCCCTTGAATTTCAACTCCCCCCCCCAATTTCAACTCACCCCCCCCCAATTTCAACTCACCCCTTGAATTTCAACTCACCCCCTTGAATTTCAACTCACCCCCCCCCCCAATTTCAACTCACCCCCCCCCAATTTCAACTCACCCCCCCCCCCCAATTTCAACTCACCCCTTGAATTTCAACTCACCCCCTTGAATTTCAACTCACCCCCCCCCCAATTTCAACTCACCCCCTTGAATTTCAACTCACCCCCCCAATTTCAACTCACCCCTTGAATTTCAACTCACCCCCTTGAATTTCAACTCACCCCCCCCCCCAATTTCAACTCACCACCTTGAATTTCAACTCACCCCCCCAATTTCAACTCACCCCCTTGAATTTCAACTCACCCCTTGAATTTCAACTCACCCCCCCCCCCAATTTCAACTCACCCCCTTGAATTTCAACTCACCCCCCTCAATTTCAACTCACCCCCTTGAATTTCAACTCACCCCCCTCAATTTCAACTCACCCCCTTGAATTTCAACTCACCCCCTTGAATTTCAACTCACCCCTTGAATTTCAATTCACCCCCCCCCACCCAATTTCAACTCACCCCCTTGAATTTCAACTCACCCCCCCCCACCCAATTTCAACTCACCCCTTGAATTTCAACTCACCCCCCCAATTTCAACTCACCCCCTTGAATTTCAACTCACCCCTTGAATTTCAATTCACCCCCCCCCACCCAATTTCAACTCACCCCCTTGAATTTCAACTCACCCCCCCAATTTCAACTCACCCCCTTGAATTTCAACTCACCCCTTGAATTTCAATTCACCCCCCCCACCCAATTTCAACTCACCCCTTGAATTTCAACTCACCCCCCCAATTTCAACTCACCCCCTTGAATTCAACTCACCCCTTGAATTTCAATTCACCCCCCCCCACCCAATTTCAACTCACCCCCTTGAATTTCAACTCCCCCCCCCACCCAATTTCAACTCACCCCCTTGAATTTCAACTCACCCCCCCAATTTCAACTCACCACCTTGAATTTCAACTCCCCCCCCCCTCCCAATTTCAACTCACCACCTTGAATTTCAACTCACCACCTTTAATTTCAACTCCCCCCCCCCCCCCCCCCCCAATTTCACCTCACCCCCTTGAATTTCAACCCCCCCCCCCCTCCCAATTTCAACTCACCCCCTTGAATTTCAACTCCCCCCCCCCCCTCCCAATTTCAACTCACCACCTTGAATTTCAACTCACCACCTTTAATTTCAACTCCCCCCCCCCCCTCCCAATTTCAACTCACCCCCTTGAATTTCAACTCCCCCCCCCCCCTCCCAATTTCAACTCACCACCTTGAATTTCAACTCCCCCCCCCCCTCCCAATTTCAACTCACCCCCTTGAATTTCAACTCCCCCCCCCCCTCCCAATTTCAACTCACCCCCTTGAATTTCAACTCCCCCCCCCCCCCTCCCAATTTCAACTCACCACCTTTAATTTCAACTCCCCCCCCCCCCTCCCAATTTCAACTCACCCCCTTGAATTTCAACTCACCCCTTGAATTTCAATTCACCCCCCCCCCACCCAATTTCAACTCACCCCCTTGAATTTCAACTCCCCCCCCCCACCCAATTTCAACTCACCCCCTTGAATTTCAACTCACCCCCCCAATTTCAACTCACCACCTTGAATTTCAACTCCCCCCCCCCTCCCAATTTCAACTCACCACCTTGAATTTCAACTCACCACCTTTAATTTCAACTCCCCCCCCCCCCCTCCCAATTTCAACTCACCCCCTTGAATTTCAACTCCCCCCCCCCCCTCCCAATTTCAACTCACCACCTTGAATTTCAATTCCCCCCCCCCCCCCCTCCCAATTTCAACTCACCACCTTGAATTTCAACTCCCCCCCCCCCTCCCAATTTCAACTCACCACCTTGAATTTCAATTCCCCCCCCCCCTCCCAATTTCAACTCACCACCTTGAATTCAATTCCCCCCCCCCCTCCCAATTTCAACTCACCACCTTGAATTTCAATTCCCCCCCCCCCCTCCCAATTTCAACTCACCACCTTGAATTTCAATTCCCCCCCCCCCCCCTCCCAATTTCAACTCACCACCTTGAATTTCAACTCACCCCCCCCCCCCAATTTCAACTCACCACCTTGAATTTCAACTCCCCCCCCCCCCCCAATTTCAACTCACCACCTTGAATTTCAATTCCCCCCCCCCCCTCCCAATTTCAACTCACCACCTTGAATTTCAACTCACCCCCCCCCAATTTCAACTCACCACCTTGAATTTCAACTCCCCCCCCCCTCCCAATTTCAACTCACCACCTTGAATTTCAATTCCCCCCCCCCCTCCCAATTTCAACTCACCACCTTGAATTTCAACTCCCCCCCCCCCCCCCCAATTTCAACTCACCACCTTGAATTTCAATTCCCCCCCCCCCCCCCCCAATTTCAACTCACCACCTTGAATTTCAACTCCCCCCCCCCCCCAATTTCAACTCACCACCTTGAATTTCAATTCCCCCCCCCCCCCCCAATTTCAACTCACCACCTTGAATTTCAACTCCCCCCCCCCTCCCAATTTCAACTCACCACCTTGAATTTCAATTCCCCCCCCCCCTCCCAATTTCAACTCACCACCTTGAATTTCAATTCCCCCCCCCCTCCCAATTTCAACTCACCACCTTGAATTTCAATTCCCCCCCCCTCCCAATTTCAACTCACCACCTTGAATTTCAACTCCCCCCCCCCCCCCTCCCAATTTCAACTCACCACCTTGAATTTCAATTCCCCCCCCCTCCCAATTTCAACTCACCACCTTGAATTTCAACTCCCCCCCCCCTCCCAATTTCAACTCACCACCTTGAATTTCAACTCCCCCCCCCCCCCCCCAATTTCAACTCACCACCTTGAATTTCAATTCCCCCCCCCCCCCCAATTTCAACTCACCACCTTGAATTTCAACTCCCCCCCCCCCCCCAATTTTCAACTCACCAACACTTGAATTTCAACTCCCCCCCCCCCCCCCCACCCCAATTTCAACTCACTCCCCTTGAATTTCAAACTCACCCCCCCAATTTCAACTCACCACCAAAAATGAATAATGAATTCACTCCCCCCCCCTCGCCAATTTCAACTCACCAACCTGAATTTCAACTCACCACCTTGGTGTAATTTCAACTCCCCCCCCCCCCTCCCAATTTCAACTCACCCCCATTGAATTTCAACTCCCCCCCCCCCTCCAATTTCAACTCACGCACCTTGAATTTCAATTCCCCCCCCCCCCTCCGCAATGTCAACTCACCACCTGAAATTTCAACTCCCCCCCCCCCTTCCCAATTTCAACTCACCACCTGGAATTTCACATTCCCCCCCCCCCTCCAAAGTTTCAACTCACCACCTTGAATTCATCACCACCTTAATGTCAACTCCCCCCCCCCTCCAATTTCAACTCATCCACCTTGAATTCAACTTCCCCCCCCACCCTCCCAATTGTCAAAACGCACCACCTTGAATTTCATTCCCCACCCCCCATTCTCCCATGTCAACTCAACACACCTTGAATTTCAATCCCCCCCCCCCTCCCAATTTCAACTCACCACCTTGAATTTCAACTCACCCCCCCCCCCCCAATTTCAACTCACCACCTTGAATTTCAACTCCCCCCCCCCCCAATTTCAACTCACCACCTTGAATTTCAATTCCCCCCCCCCCCTCCCAATTTCAACTCACCACCTTGAATTTCAACCACCCCCCCCCCAATTTCAACTCACCACCTTGAATTTCAACTCCCCCCACCCTCCCAATTTCAACTCACCACCTTGAATTTCAATTCCACCCCCCCTCCCAATTTCAACTCACCACCTTGAATTTCAACTCCCCCCCCCCCCCCCAATTTCAACTCACCACCTTGAATTTCAATTCCCCCCCCCCCCCCCCAATTCAACTCACCACCTTGAATTTCAACTCCCCCCCCCCCCCCAATTTCAACTCACCACCTTGAATTTCAATTCCCCCCCCCCCCCACCCAATTTCAACTCACCACCTTGAATTTCAACTCCCCCCCCCCCCTCCCAATTTCAACTCACCACCTTGAATTTCAATTCCCCCCCCCCTCCCAATTTCAACTCACCACCTTGAATTTCAATTCCCCCCCCCCTCCCAATTTCAACTCACCACCTTGAATTTCAATTCCCCCCCCCCTCCCAATTTCAACTCACCACCTTGAATTTCAACTCCCCCCCCCCCCTCCCAATTTCAACTCACCACCTTGAATTTCAATTCCCCCCCCTCCCAATTTCAACTCACCACCTTGAATTTCACTCCCCCCCTCCCAATTTCAACTCACCACCTTGAATTTCAACTCCCCCCCCCCCCCCCCCAATTCAACTCACCACCTTGAATTTCAATTCCCCCCCCCCCCCAATTGTCAACTCACCCACCTTGAATTTCAACTCCCCCCCCCCCCCCAATTTCAACTCACCACCTTTAATTTCAACTCCCCCCCCCCCACCCAATTTCAACTCACCCCCTTGAATTTCAACTCACCCCCCCAATTTCAACTCACCACCTTGAATTTCAACTCCCCCCCCCCTCCCAATTTCAACTCACCACCTTGAATTTCAACTCACCACCTTTAATTTCAACTCCCCCCCCCCCCTCCCAATTTCAACTCACCCCCTTGAATTTCAACTCCCCCCCCCCCCCTCCCAATTTCAACTCACCACCTTGAATTTCAATTCCCCCCCCCCCCTCCCAATTTCAACTCACCACCTTGAATTTCAACTCCCCCCCCCCTCCCAATTTCAACTCACCACCTTGAATTTCAATTCCCCCCCCCCCCCCCTCCCAATTTCAACTCACCACCTTGAATTTCAACTCACCACCTTTAATTTCAACTCCCCCCCCCCCCCTCCCAATTTCAACTCACCCCCTTGAATTTCAACTCCCCCCCCCCCCCTCCCAATTTCAACTCACCACCTTGAATTTCAATTCCCCCCCCCCCCTCCCAATTTCAACTCACCACCTTGAATTTCAACTCCCCCCCCCCTCCCAATTTCAACTCACCACCTTGAATTTCAACTCCCCCCCCCCCCCCCCCCAATTTCAACTCACCACCTTGGAATTTCAATTCCCCCCCCCCCCCCTAATTTCAACTCACCACTTGATTTCAAACTCACCGCGCCCCCCCCCCCAATTTCAACTCAACCACCATATGAATTTCCATGTCCCCCCCCCCCCCTTGATCCCCCCCCCTCCCAATTTCAACTCACCACCTTGAAATTTCACCCCCCCCCCCCCCCCCCCCCCAATTCAACTCACCACCTGGAATTTCAATTCCCCCCCCCCCCCCTAAATTTCACTCACCACCTTGAATTTCACTCCCCCCCCCCCACCCCAATGTCACTCACACAACACAAATAGATAATTCAATTCCTCCCCCCCCCCCCTTTACTCCCCCCCCCCCAGTTCAACTCACCACCTTGATTTCCAAATCCCCCCCCCCCCCCCACTTTCAACTCACCCCTTGATTTCAACATCCCCCCCCCCCCACCACCCATTCAACTCACCACCCTTTGAAATTTCAACCTCCCCCCCCCCCCCCCCCCCCAATTTCAACTCACCACCTTGAATTCCGGCTTAGACGACGATCCCGGCGAGGAAGAGGCCCCCCACCCCCCACCCCCCCATCCCCCCCACCCCCCACCCCCCTCCCCAGCTCGCGACAGCTTTGCTGCGACACCTCGTTTCACGACACACCCTCGTTTTACGACACACCCTAGTTTCACATCGCATCCTTTGGCGCCCTCCGCTGCTTTACGGCAAGGTGGCTAGGTGGGTGGGGGCGGTCTGGCGACGTTTCGCGATGGCAGACGCTGGCGAGCCCGGCACCTCCGCGTCGCTCCGCTCCCGCTTCGATGGGGCCGCCTCGCGGGTCTCCGTGCTGGCGTCCAGCCTGCCCAGGGACGCGCTTCTGCAGCTGTACGCGCGGTACAAGCAGGTGAGCGCCGTCGTCCTCCGCCGAGCGCCACTGCGATGCAACGCAGGTCGCCGAGTCGGGGGGAGATAGGCCCGCGTTTCCTAGTTTCCTGGCCGCAGCCTGTATCCTAGGCCCCCCGCTGAGGAGAGGAGGGGGTGAGATATGCCCGCGTTTCCTAGTTTCTTGGCCGCAGCCTGTAGCCTAGGCCCCCCGCTGAGGAGAGGAGGGGGGGGGGGGGATAGGCCCGTGTTCCCTAGTTTCTTGGCCGCAGCCTGTAGCCTAGGCCCCCCGCTGAGGGGAGGCCGCGACGGGCTAGTGGCGGGGTTCGAGTGAGAGGGGACCCGATGAGGTGGGGGGCTCAGGCGTAGCTGCCTCGACTGGTGAAAGGCAGCGGAGGTGGGTGGCACAGTGGGGAGCGCAAGGGTGGTGCGTGTGTGCCAGTCATCTCGTCGACCCACGGCCACCCACACCTCTGGGTCTCTTTCCCGGTGATCTTCCCGCAGCGAAGCCGCTCCGCGCTTCACCCGTGGGCCGCGAGGTGCACCTAGCCTGGCACGAGCGCCGTGACGAATAGCGGCCGATTTTGTGAAGTTAAATCTCAATCAGAATGTTTATTTAATACTGGAGGCATCCGATGAGCTATGAAGCAATCCTCCCCCCCCCCCACGGATGTCCATTAGGGGCAGGTCAGAACGTTCCAACATCAAAAAATACAAAAACACGAGTCCAAAGTATAGGAATGGTAAACAAGTCACTTAATATTATACACATAAAACTAAGCTATTTTTCTTCAATTACCAGGTAAAGCCCACTGCTACTCGCTTCTTATTCAGAAGCGACCTGGCCACAAAGGATAGCTCAACGAAGTGGCTTATGTGAAATAATACTAAAGCGTTAGTCATTGTGGGGTATATAGGATGTCGTACGATATAAGGTTGACGTGACTTTTACCGAAAGAACCAAAGAGCATAATCGTGTCGTTTTCAAAATATAATTATTGTTGCTCATGTTATCTCATCTGCTGACAAACAAAAAACAAAACCGAGCATTTAAACTTGTAAATAGCTATGCTTCTTTAAATGTGTGCTTTGAAAAATGTGTGTGTTTTTTTTCTGAATAATTAACGGCATAAGCCATTCTTGCGCATGGTTGGAGCCATTCAGTACTGTCATTTGTGGCCAGGTCGCTTGTGAAAAGGAGCTGTATAACGGAGTGAGCCTTAACTTGTAAATATGCTGGAGCTAAATGCCACTTTATCGAGGCCTGCTGGCCACGAGAGGGCTTCACGAGAGAGAGTGTAGATCTGCTATTCCCCCGTTGAAGGAATAGCAGACCAAAGTACAGGGGATTCTTATATGGTACATAGTTTTGGCTGCATGGACAAAATCGCATTACTGTGGCTTGTGTTTAATATATCTCTGTGGGTCTCAATGTGTCTATTGGTTTATTCTTTGGTCCATAGTTTTTTCCACAGTTGCACTCCTAATTTTACAACGGCATAGTTACATAAAACGTCATTTTAGCATTATGTATGTGATGGACACAATGTGCATTATAAACGTTATGTAGAAAGTTATTATTTGTAAGGCTTAAGGTAGGGTTATATTGAGTGAACTACAGCAAACTACAAAACAAGAAGATACAAATGTTACCTATAATTACAAAATTAATGGGAAATCAAGATTAATGGGAAACTGACATTGGGATGATCGCGATATTGTGAGATTTGATATTGTATCGTGAAAAATTTATTACGACAACTCCTGTAAATCACCAAGTCACTATGTTCACAGTTGGTGTATTCTTAGTCTGAGTAAACAAGAGCGTTTGGAAATCAGTAGGACATATTGGAATATGAATTTTGTTTGTGGCGTGCGCCCTGCAGGAGTGTTGTATGATATTAATATAGCACTCTCCTCTTGCGTGCGTGTCACCAGGCTTCCATTGGCAAATGCAACACAACTAAGCCAGGCTTGTTTGACTTTGAAGGCAAGCAAAAATGGTAAGCTTCTCACTTTATTTATGAGTTGCTGTGTGCCGGGTGATAGATTTATCCATTCATTTCTTGACTGGTTCGCCTGCATCCAGAGCAGTAATACAATTATGTTGATTGCGTAATGATGCATCGATTCATCAGCTCGTAATACCTGCATTACATTACATGTGTAGGAATGTTTTTCAACTCATATAATGTATATAGTAAATAATGGTTTCACATGGCCTCTACAGCCACAATTGTCCGATGTATTCACCACGATATCAACATAATTGATTCTTGAATAGAATTGTGACATAGAATATTTACAGTTCATTGAATCGATGGGGGAATGCATGTACACCTGTAGTGTGGCGAGATGTTAACTACCTCGCCTGGTATACAGGAGGAGGAGTTTGCATGTTCTCCCCGTGATTGCGTGAATTATTCCATCCACATTTGGAAACGTGTTTAGAGTATTTGGCTGCTGTACATTTCCACATGATAAGCCACTTCTTTGATCTATCATTTGTGGCCAGGTCGCTTCTGAAAAAGAGCTATATAGCTCAGTGGGCCTTACCTGGTAATATAAAAAAGATTTTATTAGTTTTAGTAAAAACATTTTATATTACAGAGCTCTGGAGATTTCATCGAACATTTTGAGTTACACGGATACATTGTCCGCAGACATCGAATGATGATATTTCAATGATGTCAGCAGGTGTCGCACAAGTGCACAACCACTGCAGTAATTGCGAAGCATCATAAGACGAATTTGTTCATTCATGGTCAGGGCATGCATGAAGGTGTCCGCTCTGAGTGGGCAGGCAGTGCCTTGAGGGAAATTTGAATGGCCCACGAGAAAACTGCTTACAGATTAACTTTATTCATAATCAACGTTTTTGGGTTTAGATCGCGTTTATTTATAAATGTGTCGTAACCCTCCACCACCCGACACGGCCAATCAGTAAAAAAAGTGTCACGTTGACAAAAGACAAATAGTTCACTGCTTTAGCCCACCGGTGTGTTGAAGCCACAACATTTACAATTTGAGTACGACGTTTCGCTGGTAATTGCAACCAGCATCATCGGGCAATTCGCCAGAATGGTGATGTTCTCCTGTGTCTCCCGTTCTTATATAGAGCAGAACTTATATAGAGCAGAAATGTCCACGTGATAAGCTACTTGGTTGAACTGTAATTTGTGGTCAGGTCACTTCTGAAAAAGAGTTACATGGCTCAATAAAACAAGTTTAGTTATTGTTTAATAGATTCTAGCAACATTTTAGCACTTATTTTGGGTGAAGAAACAATCCATGCTGTTTGCATATAAATGAACCTTAGTGTGTGCACATTTATGTACCTGTGTGTTGTGTTTTAGGGAGGCATGGAATGCACTGGGAGCCATGTCAAAAGAGCAGGCTATGACTGAATATCTCGCTCTAGTCAATAAACTGGATCCCCAGTGGTCGGAGCAGGTGAGTAAGCTTGTATGTGTGCTCTAGCCTAGAATATGGTATATGTTGCATGGCATACGTGTATTCGTATTTGTCTGCACATTCAAAAATGATGTTAAAATATAACAGAAATCATCTGGCCCTTATTGTCACAAGCTGTCATGTTAATCAATTGTGTCTATGGTGGTCTAATTGTCATTTACAATTGTTACCACAGTCAGTTGTTTAAAGCCCCTTCTATAAATGAGCTACAGTGTGCATCTTGTGTCATATCTGTGCTCGCACATACTGGCTACTAGTTTTAGTCAGCTACGCGTAGCAATGCAATGTATATCGTGTGACCAGTAATTTAATGAGGCACCTGCAGTGTACGTGGAGGACAGAAGTTAACTAACAATGACATTTTAAAGTGATAAAAAAATCACCAACAATAAATAGCCTTATAATTACATCTTGATAGCATGAAACCTTGACTCTCTTTTGAAACTTGCTTAGATAAGACTGGCTGATGGGTGGGCTCAGAGATGGGCAGTTTTTGTTAAAAAGCAAGAATAGTAAATAAGGGCTCAGGGCAGAGGTGGGACAAAGTCATTGTTATGCAAGTCCAAGTCGAGTCTCAAGTCATCAAATTCATGACTCGAGTCTGACTCGAGTCCAAGTCACATGACTCGAGTCCACACCTCAGAGGTGGGACAAAGTCATTGTTATGCAAGTCCAAGTCGAGTCTCAAGTCATCAAATTCATGACTCGAGTCTGACTCGAGTCCAAGTCACATGACTCGAGTCCACACCTCTGGCTCAGGGAGTCAACTTTTTCAAGGGAGACCTGGATAGATAAATCTGACCCTAAGTAGGCTTTCAGAGTACAGGCGTTAAGCCTATTGGCTGTCTTTTAAATGGAATAGGATCATCATTTTCTCTTTTTCCTGTCTATGATGTGACTGGGCCTGTCGAATGAGCGTGGAATTACCACCACTGGCACAGGTCGTAGACACACATGAAGTGCCTCCTCCCCACATGAACTCGAGTGGGGAACTGCTGACTCGTGTGACTCGCATGAATGCTGCTGACCTTGGATGTGTGCCTCTCTCACCCCGCACAGGTGAATTTGGAAGGGAACCGCAAAGTCACCTCGGGCTTTGGCCCCGTTATGAGCTCACTCTACAAGGAGGAGATCATCAGGTGGGTGTTGATGGTAGACGGCGGTGGTAACTGCCTTTCAGGGAGCGGTCGTGTCGTGGTCCGTGAGCCGTTTTACAATTCCGTTGTCCCATGTTCATTCCTAGCACTTTGACACCAACGACAAAGTAGGCATTCGAACCTGGCCTGTGGCTCACCTCGGTTGACGCAAACTAAAATGTGTAATATTATGTTCACTAATGTGAATAGGAGCGCTAGCAGTGAGCAAAGGCTGCTTTGTGTGGGCGGTGCTGGTCATACCTCCTTTGGTGTTATTTACTGACCTATATAGGTGCTCTAAAACAATGAAAAGCAAGCAAATGAGCTATAAGACTACACTGAACATCTTAAGAACTGTGCGTGTTCAGTACAGCTTCATATGCTTGCGAGACTTGGACGTAAAAGAGACTGACAGAGGTAAGATATTGGCACTCGAAATGTAATGCGACAGAAATATACTTAATATAAGCTGAACCCAAAGAGTGACCAATGTAGAAGTAAAAAAAGGGTTCTGCATAGAAGAAGACCTGATGATGCAGGCAGTGATGAGAAGAAAACTCGCACTATTTGGACACACGTGTAGGATGGACAACAACAGAAACATTAAAAGTGTTGTTCGGAAAAATGGAAGTAACAGGAAAGGGAGGAAGACCTAATAGAGAATGGCTTCTTGATGACAACATAACAGATTGGTGCCAGAAAGATGTGGCACTACTTGAGCATATTGGCACAAGACAGAGGAAGGTGGAAACAAATGACGACATGTGCAGTGGACATCAACGGGCTATCTGCCCATGGATTGTGATGATGGAAACAGCATGTGCCCCCACCAGTTGGTATGACCATTATTTTTTTTATGAAGGAATCTCTCGTGAAAGCTCATTGTGTGGTTCTGATTGTATAAACGTGTGCAGGGAGGAGGACAAGACTGTGTTTGATCATTGCAAAGATAATGAGGTTAACCGACTGGCAGCAGCCCTCAAGCAAGATGCCTTTGACATAAACCAGCGAGATGAGGAGGTACCTGTGTGTGTGTGTGTGCACCTCCGATTAGCACAGTTGGCTACGTTCGGTGTGAACGAAGTTCTACATACATACACGTAATAATGATACACCTATACAGAATGCAGGCTTGTGTAATTGTGTGTGCGAGCTGTGTTCGTGTGTGGTAGCTCACTACGATAAGATCCTCATGATTTTAGTGGCAACAGCTATATTTGAAGCATTGCTTAGGACCAAATCACCTGGAATGTGCTTGATCTTGTCAGATCTGAGAAGCTGAGCAGAGTTTGAGCCTGGATAAAGCTTGAATGGGCAAACACCTTTGCGTAACGGACTGTTATCGATTGATGAAATTCGTGGTGGGAAGCGAGAGGGCAGAGCAGCGAAATGCATTGTTGTACTGCCCTCCTATGCTCCCATGTCTGCTCCCGGCCTTCACCGACCTGTACCTACCATCATGGTGAAGTACTACGTGTTGTGGTTCTCATCCAGTGGCAGATTGACAGGAGGGTACATGTCCATTTGAAGCATTGTCAGTTGGTTAATTTGCCCTGCCGTGCAGTGTGCTTTGTTAAACTAGTACTCAAATGTGGCTTCTGTGGGACTGGCTGCACCAGCCACTCGTACATTGCTGGCCCATAATCAATAACACCCTTTATAGCCAGATAAGGATCCATGAAGAAATGACATGCTTTAAAAAAATTGTGAAATTCAACATAAGCATTGTGTTGACCACACCACCCCAATCGTGAGCCATGCTAGTGCTTACTAACAGCACTTGAATCCGTTTATGAGCTATAAGGGATAATAATTTTCTCTCTATGTGCGTGCTTTATCATAATGATTGTGCACGGCATAAGCAGGGCATTCATTTCGCAGTGGATTGACAAAGGGCTATAAGTTAGTCATCGTCTTTGTGTGTGTAACTTGCGTTTGTGCAGGGACGCACACTGCTCCACTGGGCCTGTGATCGCGGGCACCTTGAGACGGTGGAACTTCTGTTGAAGCGTGGCGCAAATGTCAACTCGCAGGTATTACCGGCCGATGTGCACATGTTGGGATGGTTGGTGGAGCAGCTATGCTGGCTATGTTGGCAGTATGGCAAGTGTGGGCTAGGTTCCATCTGTCCCATCTGTATGGGATAGAGTGTTGCCCCCTTGCGCAGGGGTGGGTTTTCTTCCAGTGCTCTGGTTTCTGCCCTCATGTGTAAACACTCACCGTGATTAATTGGCTGAAAACATTTTAATGTGCGCCTCCGTGTTTGCGCATTGTGCAGTGTTATGTGATGCACGATATAAAAACTCAACATTTTTATTGATGTATGCCAGTGTGGTAGGTGGAAGTATGCCAGTGTGTTTGTATATTAACGATCTGTGTGTGGCATCCTAAACTGATCTTGGCCTCTATTCGGTTGACTCAACCTTAAATAAGTACTTGGTACAGCATGTGAGCATCATAACTGGGGATATCTGCAGTGAGGTATGGTGTTGGCTACACCACCACCACCGTGTGTGTCATTCCAGTCTTAATGGGTGCTCACTAACAACACGTGCCCCTGTGGTGTACAAGGATAAACGGTGGATCCTTGCAATTCTGCTGCTGTGTTCATCATGATAAGTGAATGGTGGAGCTGGCTGCATAGATTTGTTTGGCGGTTGATGGCGTCATTAATTTTGGTTATTGTTGGTGTTGGTGTAATTTTATGTGGTAGCACAGATGAAATATCCCGCTAAAAAACGTACAACATTTAGTGAAGTGAGCGCCGTGGTGGCGAGATGTTAACTACCTTGCCTGGTCTACAAGAGGTCGTGGGTTTGATCCTGACTGACACCTGTATATTTGGAGTTTGCATGTTCTCCCTGTGATCTCATGGATTTTTCTCCAGGTCCTCCAGTTTTTCCCTCCACATTTCGAAACATGCATTTAGAGTATTTGGCTGCTATACATTTCCACGTGATAAACCACTTGTTGGGCTGTCATTTGTGGCCCAGGTCGCTTCTGAAAAAGAGCTATATAGCTCAGTGGCCCTTACCTGCTAAAATCAAAAGAATAACTAGTTAATACCACTGGTACCTACACCAATTACCAGTCCTGGTGGTGCACACCTGTAAACCAGCAAGGCTGGTGGATGAATACAATACAATTTGTCTAAAATGCAGCCACATCTCAAGACACTGCACGGACTCGTGGCCATATGTATTATGTAGTGAAACGTAGACAAAGACTGAGATCCCCTGTATAGCCTCAACAGACTGTTGGGGCAAGTGCTGTTAGCAAGCATCTATGAATGCTGGCACGGTACACTAGGAGGTAGGTGGCCAGCACCGCGCCTTTGACCGCCTTTGTCTCCCAGTGGTGATGATTTTTATACACGGCATCAGGTCCTCATTTGAGGCTGAGTCGACCTATGGGAGGCCCAGGAGCGATTACAATCATCGTCACTGGTGTTGGCCATGAGCGGAAATCGAACTCGGATCACCGGGTTCACAGGACAGCACACTAACCGCTACATCTAAACGGAGATTCAAACACACCATTGATTGCTGTAAAACTCCTAACTTGTAGAGATGCGAGGTGGCCAGGAGATGGCAGTACATCAAACGGATGGATTTGTGACCCATTTATGGATGTTTTTTGTCTGCTTTGGAAGCATAATTTTTCTCCTGGTACTGTGGTATCCTGAAGATCATTTTTTAAAATGAAAAATAAGTTGCCCAACACCCAAGTGCTGACCCCCTCCCGAGAGATATTGAGGCTTTCCTGGGTTTAACTGCTTTTTGTGTTGAGTTGGTTGTTCTTCCTCCGCACCTACGATTGGCACGGTTGGCGATGTACGGTGTGCAAGAAGTTCAACATACATACGTCAATAAACCATTACTGGGCATGCGACAAATTGCTATGCTCACAATTCGATGAATCGTGTTGATTGAGGATCACATTGTGATTCAATAATTATTTTATTAGCTGTGGTGGGGTATCGAAAGCCTCTTTTGGCTGCAGGGTTTACATGAACCAGTTGCGTCATGGAATCAGAAATAATTGATATTTACACGCACGATGCCTCTGTTCATATAATAAATATCATTTGTGAATTGATGCATTGCTAATTATTGCTTGATCACATTACCATCATGTGTTTGTTCATCCAGTCTAGCTCTGAAAATAATGTATGATAATGGACATTTGACATGGAGCGGAAACTCTCTATCAAGCCTTGTAGTATTGACTGAGAGGCATATTGAAATGACCGCAGTGTTTGTCTTGTTTGGAAGCAGGTTGTGGATTTTTCGATTTAAAGCTTTCGTGACTGCAGGGATTCATCTTCTTGGTTCTTTCGGTAAAGTCACGTAGAAGGGAAGTAATAAAATAATAAAAATAAAACATAATAAAATAAAATAATTCTCACGACGTTTCGGCTACAACGCAAGCAGCCGTCTTCAGGTGAAGAATGAGACAATGCCAAGCCAGGAGCTTATATATAAGCTGCGTTGGAGGTGGATCCTGCATAATGCATGGGCATAATATGACTTTGAAACCCCCCCGCCCACCTCCTACGCATTTTCCATGAATATGCTAAATTCCTCTTCATATGCACATTCTTTTGTTAAGGCGCTCTTTCTTCCACCTCCAACGCAGCTTATATATAAGCTCCTAGCTTGGCATTGTCTCATTCTTCACCTGAAGACGGCTGCTTGCGTTGTAGCCGAAACGTCGTGAGAATTATTTTATTTTATTATGTTTTATTTTTATTATTTTATTACTTCCCTTCTACGTGACTCTACCGAAAGAACCAAGAAGACAGGTTGTGGATGTTTAATGGCCTAAACCTGTGTGATTTGTGGCAGGACGATGAGGGACAGACAGCTCTGCATTATGGTGAGTTGTCACACATGGATAGAGACATAGATGTACACACACCTACCTGGCACGCATGCACACTCACACTGCATTTACTGGATAATGCACCCTCGAGCACATTTGTATCCACTGATACGTCATTTCCCTAAAATTGTAAGGTTCCCAGATAAAAAAAAAATCTTTTCTGGCTTGATTCAGCCCATCATCATTCTGGGGGTCGAAAAAAACGAACACCACCTTGTCGGAAAGGCTTCATAGAGTCACCGGCTCCATCTCCAGTAATGGAAAATGTCCACCACTGGCTTCCTGCTGTTAAGCGAGATGAGTATTGAGTGGGGAAACACGTTTATTTTTGATGACACGTAATTAACCTTACACTTGCGTATGCATTTCATGTCGTGTTAGTACCGCGCACTTTGAGCTGTGCACATTTTCGGTGCACACTCGAACCCTTCTGTCTCCCATTTATTTCGCTTGCACACACAGAGCAGCCACCTGTAGATTCCTCGAGCCTCATGCTGTACCTGAACATGCGTCAGCTAACGACATGCCCTGTATGCCTCCTTCCCTGCCCCCTTGCTCAATGGGACAAGCGTGTGGCTGCGACTTCCCAGCCACCGTTCGTCTCCTCCTGGCATTTGGTGCTGACCCATCGATCCCCGACTCGGAGGGGACGCTACCCTCCCAGCTGGCCGACACCGCGCAAACCGCACAGGCCCTCACGCAGACAGGATAGCACTGCCCACACTCACTCACTGCAGGCTCCCTCAACACGGTAATCAACGCTACTCTTCTCGCACCACAGACGTGCTCGCTTTGGATGGCAGATGCCTGATTGGGCTGGCACCATTCGCGTGTTCACGCAGACTCCCACTAGCACCACAGGCCGTGTTTGTATGACCAGTTTTGAGTAGGTTGAGCGTGGATACTGCTGTCATTCTTCGTTTAATTTGTATCCTTTATCCACCTTGATTAGACCTAGTTTATAAGTGTAGAGAGTTGATGGTCCTCAGCCTGGTCACCAATGGTCACTTAATTTGGAATATTTAAGTTTTGATTAATATAAACATCACCGGTATGGCAAAACACTCTTGCGAGCTATACAGCATTGCAACTTGTGACTTGGCAGGAAGATTCGTGATGTCACGTTCCAGTGCCATTCTCGGACAATATGTAATGTTACACTGCTCGCTGTGAGAGTTTTTGAAAGGTCATTGCTTTTCTCAAGAGCGCAATGGCTGTAAACATCAAACGGAATTCATGGGAGAGAAAGAACCTCGGCATCGGTGGCTGGGCTTGTCACCTGCTCCGTAACCCAAGTGGTTTAAAGTTCCATTTCGTCTAGTTTATTAGTCTCTTGTTATGTTTCATTTTTTATCTAAGCTGTTCTGAGTTTCAAACTATTATTACAAGTGCGCAGCACATTACCCACCTGTAGCCAACAAGGAGGTGGGGTTTGTTTTTTCCAGTCATACAACTTAAAACAAAGATACCCCGTATAGCCTAAACGGACTGTTGGGGCAAGTGCTGGTAGCGAGTAGCACCTATGAAGGCCAGAACGGCACACAAGGGGGTGGGTGGCCAGCACCACGCCTGACCGCCTTTGTCTCTCTAGTGGCGATATTTACGCATCGCACCAGATATTCATTTGAGGCTGAGTCGACCTAGGGGATGCCCAGGACCGATTCAGATAATCATCACTGGTGTCGGCCGTGAGCGGGAATGGAACTTGGGGGACGTCGGGTTTGTAGCGCAGCACACTAACCGCTACACTACCGCTCCCCACAATACAAACTAAACACACACCCACATGCATATGTAAACACTTATACACACTTTTGTATATAATTACACTCTAGGGCACAATCACGGCACAGTCACGTAAATAGTACAAAGATTAAGATCCTCCTCATAGCCTTTAACACAATGCTGGGATGGCGCTGTTAATAACATTCACAGCCCTTTGCCAATCCACTGCTAGATGAAAACCTCCAAAGGTCACGTCAGCCATTGGGTTTGATTGATCATACTTCACCACATTGATCATTGCGAGTTGGTGAAGGGAGGCCCGAAACTGATGTAGATTTCACTACAAACTGACGTTAGCTGTGGCTGGGAATATGAACTCGGGCCACTGGGCTCATAGCACAATGCATTAACCACTGTGCCGCCACTCCCCACAAACAATGCAAATATATACATACACACACACAATACAAACGTATAGACAATACACTTCTACACATTCATACATAAACACACATTTTAAACGTTCGCAAGTAGTTTTGCACAAGCATCGCTCCGACGCGTAAATATTCACGTGCAAAATCACACTCTCATACGATCAGTGGTCACAACGTAAATGTAGAAGTGCCGGTGTGAAACCTATTCATCCTCAACCCAATGTTTGACTGCCCTCTCCCCTCTGCGGAGACATCGTAGAATAGGAACCGTTCTGAAATGTACTGGTAGAAAGGACTGGTGTTTTGAGATGTTCCGGTATATTTCCACCACTGTTTCCGATAACATATACACTTAAACCCACATACACACAGAGTGACACGCGGTGTAGAAAAACATAAACACGCGTACAAAATAGAGGGAGGCCGTGCAAGTTTATAAACACGGCTCTGGTCCTCTTTACATGCCGACCACTTAAAACTGGTCATGGAAATAAAATGTTTGTATGTATGAAGCAGGCTTTATGCACTTACATGCATGTACACAGCAAGTCCTCGTTTATCGCACTAGTCATATATGCGGTTCTGAAAAGTGCAGCATTTAGCGAAAACGGCATTCAGTGAAAACTATTCCCCCATAAATGGAGCGATAACATTTGGCCAGATACAATGGATGCACACACAACGCGAAAGCGGGACCAATAGCTGAGGGTATGGACCGACGTGTTACCGTATCTTTCCACGTAGCGTATCACTGCACCGCTCAGCCACACAGCCTCGCATAGCCATCCACACACTTTACCGGTCACAGCGAATACTTACAAATGAGCGCTTACACACAAGTCTACTCCCCCAACCCTGTGATGTACATATATTTCAGTGACGTATTAATATAGCTCCAATGACAGCAGGATATTGATGATTGAAAAATAAAATGTGTACTCATTCGGCCCATCATTGTTTTTGCGACTGTGACATTAATTTATTTCCTTAATTTAATTATTTTTAATTGCATGCCGTTCACAATTCTCTTTGGAACGATTAACACGAGGTCACCAGTCCAAAGAACGTGTGGTGTATAAATGGGTACGTTATGCAAGCCGTTTTAATAAAAAAACAAATACACAAGGATGAGGCACTCATGTTGTATACGATGCAGTCTTGTGTTTTTAAGACTTTCGTAATGCGTTTCTCTATTAATTTTCACATATCCATGTATGTAACTCACCGCGGGTGCAGCTCCCATTTGGAAGGTCCCAAGAGTTCAACGAAGCCATCGTCACTGCGCTCGATACAATTCTTGCAATGTGGGAAGCGAAAATTGGTCATCGTCTGCTGGAGGAGAGTTTGATCACCCCTGCCATGGAAAGTGTGGAATGTCTGCCACTCACGGGAGCCACGTGTTTCTCTCAGAATCGTGAATATTTATACACTGCAGAAATCCGATGAGCTGTGAAGCTCTTTCACACGTCCGATGGGGGGTCAGAAAGTCACAACAACAACATACAATACAAAAAAAACTATAGGAATGCAAATTGTAGGAAAAGTAATCGACACACTAAATAAATACGTGAAATAGATCATGTAAATTCAAATTGCAAAAGTACACCAATTCTCAAGCTTGTGCAAAGCAGCAAACAAGCTATGATGTTTCGATTTAAAGCTTTCGTGACTGCAGGGATTCATATTCTTGGTTCTTTCGGTAAAGAACCAAGAAGAAGCTATGATGTGTCAACATCAGCATTGTGCCGGTCACACCAAAGTATAGGAAAGAAATAAATCACTAAAAATAAGCTAAACTTTATATTTATTCGACCAGCTAAAGGTCACTGAGCTATAAGACGAAACTATGTTTTACTAAATTATATTTTTCCATGTAAGGCCCACTGAGCAATATAGCTGTTTTTCAGAAGCGACCTGGTCACAAATGACAGCTCAACGAAGTGGATTATGTTTAAGTTTAATCAGCCAAATACTCTAAATGTATGATTTTAAATGTGGAGGGGTAACACCGGAGGACTTGGAGAAAAACCAATGTGACCACGGGGAGAACATGCTAACTCCAAATATACAGCAGGCGTCAGGGTCGGTATCGAACCCATGCACTCCTGCATACCAGGCGAGGTAGTTAACATCTCGCCACTGAGCACTGCCCGTCCGTCATGAACAGGGAAACATTTGGACTTTGCACTGGCTGCATATGTTATACATCTGCTGGAACGATTCCTTGGCTCAGTGGTAGCGTGCACGTGCAAATAGGAGGAAGGGTTGGCGAATCACGCAGAGATGGAGTGTGCATGAGAAACCTACCCTGATATGAGGCAGTACAGCAAGTAGGTTGCTAGTGTTGTACACGTGTGGCGTTTGCACAGCTAATTCTGCGCAGACGTGGGTTTTATTTAGTCATGGCCGTTTCCTACCTTGCAAAGAGTCGGACAGGAATTGGTAAAAAAAAAGAAGACTGAACAAATTAATATGATCATACTGTATGCACATTTTCCTCATTTACTGCTTACGCAATCCTATACCCAGGGTCGGTTGTATCATCCTGGAATGAGCTAAGGACAAGAGCCTGGTTATGATCTGAGGAAGGTTCTGTTCATCACTGTAAAAACCTCACAGCCGGAATTTGGGGAAAATGGGAAGGCCATGACTGAAATAAAACATTTGCGAGGCCATGACTGAAATAAAACATTTGCGAAACAACTAAAACCGGTCCATAATTTATTTACGCGCGAAATAAGCAATGCGTGGTAAGGGACGGCATCTGTATGTGCACGAGCAATTCTACACAACAGTACTTAACTGTTGCATGGAATTCAGCAATCTCTTCTCCTTGGACCACTGCGTGCTCTGTGTCGTGCTCTCATTCAAATCAATTTTACAGATGTAATAAATGTGTTTGCGTTTAACTTCTTTCACATCATACGTAGCTAGACGTAGCCAACCGCGGTAATCGGTGCGGGTGATGCTCGTGTAGCCCGTCGCAAAAATCTGTCCATCGTGCCACATCCAGTGGAGCTCAAGGCCTTTCTTCCAGCCTCTACTGCTTCACAGCGATGCTGGTGACTCCCAAGTGAACTGAGCAGCCGTTCATTTGCCATTATTAAATTGCATGATGTTTTGTTGATTGTTCAAAAAAGAAAGAATGAAATGTCTTGGATATGCAATTCCGTATGAATGTGTAGTAACGTTAATGGAGTCACTATGGCATATAGCGCGAGCTACTGTCACAACAGTAGAACTGCGTCTTGGGCCTCTTTCTGGCACCAGAGTAGGTATGGCATGGAAGTGGGTTTTAGAGGGCATGGTTCGGATGACGGTCAGAGAGAGGGCATGTGAGGATGTGACTGTCTTTGGGCTCGCCTTCCCATCAACCAGAGGCGAGGAGTGGTGGTTGTGGTTACTTATGCCCCCACTGAAGGCGAACATCCGTGGAGGGATGCAGGCAAGGCCGATGAGTCAGATGCCTTATATGACCTGTCACAGGTGCTAGCTAAAGTGCGCCCTCGGGAAAGAGCCATCTTGTTGGGTCACTTCAATGCCCGGTTTGGTCATGATGCTGGCACCTGGTCTGGAGTAATTGGAAGGCATGGGCCAGATCAGCTCAATAACGGCAGGAGGCTGCTCGATTTTTGTGCAATTAGCAACACGCTGTTCCGGCATCGGCGCATCCACACCACATCATGGATGCATGCCGGGTCCAAGCAAGAACATCTGCTGGACTACATAGTGACGGACCAGCGGATGCGAGCCCATGTCCTTGACACCAGGAACTACCGTGGAGCTGATCTGCCCACTGACCATTGACTTGTCATCTGTAAGATGCGCCTGCCATTCTTCCATTCCGGTGGTGGGTGTACACCCAGGACCCCATTCAAACCCTTAGTGGCTTGGTCTCAGCGAGCTGATGAAAGTTGCAAGCGAGAATGTCATCATCGCTTGCGGCTGGGGTTGGCATTGTCCCCCACTCCTGATGTCGAGGGGAAATGGGCGAAGTGTAGGACTGTGGCTCATGCAGCTGCAATGGCTGCTTTGGGTACACGGTCCAGACCTACCCAGAGACCCTGGCTGACAGAGGTGTTCAAGCTGGCTGAGAAAAAGCGACAGGCCCACTCTCATCGGCTACAGCATCCCACGTCGGAGAATGAAGAGGCTTAACGCAGCCTTCGCTCGGAGGTTCGGAGAGCTGTGAGGCGCTGCAAGGATGGGTGGTCGCGGGTTGCTGAGGAGATGGAGTCTGCCTTAGTGGCCCGCGATCGTGAAGGACGCTACTGGGCAGTTGGAGGCAGTCGCCCTCCAACAACAACGGAGGGCGGAGGAGCGACGCTCACAACAACGAGCGGAGCGCCGGGTGGCTCAAGCACAGCAAGTTGGTACAGTAGGGGGCACAGGTGGTGCATCAGCCAGTCGCCTCAGTCGACCCGTGGCATCTGGGTCTGCCCCGTGACCTGCCAGCGGGCGTTCGACACTTCACTTGGCCTCAAGGTGCACATAGCCTGGCACAAGCGTCGTGGTGACGTCACCGCCACTTAGTGGCGAATGGCGGTTGTTGTTGTCTGGGTGACCCCTAGAAGGTACGTGACCGGCACAGGGTAGCGAGGGGGCCCAAAGGGTGGCTTGAGGGACACGTGATGCTCGGTCGAGAACCTTCAGATGAGATCCAGAAGGGGGCGTGGCAGAGGGCGGAGCGAGGCCACGCTCGGGAGCATCAAGCAGAGGTCCCGAGAGCAATCGCGGCTGTCTGTTGGAATGGATCCCGTTGGTGCTACGTCTCTTCGATCCTCGGCCTTCGGTCTTTACGCTCAGCTTCATGAGTCAGGCAATATGTTACTGACTGACATGGTTACGTAGTTACCTCGTTGTGGTATAGTTACCCCGTTGTGGTCTAGTTAACCAAGTGTACGTTTATGCAGTTACCCTGTTGGGGTGTTATAATAATGTGTTACCTCCAAGTTCTAGTGTGTGCCTCCGTGAAGAACACTACAAATATAATGAAATCTAGTAGTTTCCTAATTGATGTTTGCACTGTTCCAGACATTCCCAGAACCATAAATACCCCCCCTCCCCCCCACTGAAAATTGGCGAGAGGTTTTACGACTGCATAAGCAGCCCTAAGGAGGCTTTAAAATCCAGCAGAGACATTGGATGGTCACCAGCAGTTCTATAAAAAAAAACACCTGCAGTGTTTGGAAGTAGCGACGTCAAACACTGCAACGTAAATATGCCGTGTGGTCCACACTCGGCAATTCACTGGAGAACAAATAGACACGGCCAATTGTTTGATGAGAGAGACTCCCATTAAAGCGATTCTATAAGACAGCAGGAAGACTAAAATTAACTCAGGCATCACAGGAATTAGGATGGCGAGATAGATGCATGTCGTGGGTCATAAAGACTGCATCGGGTCACGAGCGAAGATGGCAAATGGAGGAAGAGACGAGCTGTGGAGGTGAACTGTTTTTATTTTACCAGGTAAGGCCCACTGAACTATTCGTCTCTTTTTCAGAAGCGACCTGGCTATCGCAAATGATAGCTCAACGAAGTAGGCTTACTCATCACGTGCAAATGTATTTCAGCCAAATATTCTAAAACGCATGTTTCTAAATGTGGAAGGGGAAACACCAGAGGAGAGAGAGAGAGACATGCAAACTCCAAATAGACAGCAGGTGTCAGGGTCGGGATCAAACCCACGACCTCCTGCATCTCGCCACCGTGGCACCCTGCCGTCGCGCCCCAGATGATGGCCCAGGACAAGCCTGAGTGGAAATGGAGGAATGGCAGGTACCGTGAGTGGGAATAGCGCCATGAAGAGGAGTTCATTTTTGAGGCCCGTTCCCTGACATGCCACGGCAGTCTCGCTGCTGTCTGAGATTTTGAGGACAATTCCATGGTATCATTGGCACAAACGGCGTAGAATGTAAGTTAAATACCAAGCGGTTGTGTACATGTAGCTATCTAAACCGGCACAAGGCTCCCAAAAATCACTTGACTTCTGTGCGGTCGCCACCAATCGAATTCAGCCCATAATTTATATATCTCTTATCTCTCTAAATCATCTCAAGCCTCCCTTAAATCACGTGACCTGTGTGTGTGTGGCCACCCCCACTCTGAGCTCCTCTCTCCCCG